GTATCACTAATCGTCAAAGTGACTAGCGCTTGATTGACTCTTGAACTTTTGGATGTGGCAGCCTCACACCCAAGGCTAACTTTGATCAATCCTGAGGTGGTATATTTTAGTGCGTTGCCAAATATATTCATCAGAATACGCTTCCAAGCCCCAGGCTGAGTCAAAAAGGTCCAGTTGGATTTGTGGTCTACATCAAGAATTACAGATAAAGGCGGCGATTCCTTCATTCCATGAAAATCAGAATTGGTAGGTGAGTTTAGATAGTCAACATCAGTGAAAGCATCATGAAGAGTCGAGTGAATAACATGAACGTGCCCAGCATAAATACCATTAATGACATCCTCTGTGATAGAGGCAATGTCAAGATCGGAGGTCAAGCTAATTGTTCCGTAGATCTGAAACTTCTCCGCTGGAACAGCTTTTCGTACCTTGGACGAGTTGCGTACCACTCTTTGTTCCGTCTTTTGTACTGTGGTGAAATTGTTTATTTTTGCATAGTCAAGTACATTAGTTAATGTATCAAGTAAAGTTGTAGAACAATGTCCAATCGTCTCCAGCGCATTCCTTTGATAATTGCTGATTTGTGTATCTTGTAGAAGCTCGATTGATCCTTGAATTCCTTGTAGTGGACTCCTCAGTTCATGACTTATTGATGATAACAAAGCAGTCTTCGTTTGGTCAGATGCGACTATCTCTAGACGAGAAACTTCAGCCATGATACTATTTCCAAAAGCAGCCACGTAATTTAGATCGTCATCTAGACTAAGTACCCGAGTTGGATCTGAAGTCCAAAGCATGGTACTAGCGAACCAGCGCTCATTATGCGAATCCCATAAGGGTAAGATCATGACGTATCTGGCACCGGGAAATATTTGTAGCATAGTTCGACCTTCCATGACCCTAGAAGATGCTTTCTTAACTATCGAGTTCTTGGAAGTGTCTGCAACAACCGATATTTCTCCGGTCGGCGCAGCGTCGAGCATATCATCTTCACTTGACGACATATGACCTCCTTCGTCAAAAGCGAAAACTTTGCCATGGGGATGACGCTTGAGAAGGCGGCGAACAAAGTTTTCTTTAACAGTGAGATGCTCTGGAAAGCTTGTATCACCACGTAGAGTACAGCGTGAGGCTGTGGAATATGCTAGTACTTCACACATGCGTGTTTGTGAAGCCTGTACCTTCTTTTTTGACCTCCTGCTGTCAGAATCTTTTCCATTAACACTATCCGAGGTATCATACCGCGAAGAGGTTCTTGAAACATCTTCGCTGCTAGATATTTGTGCAGCATCATGTAAGCCAGCGGTTCTCTCCCGGTTATTTAAAGAAGATTGTTGCCCAAAAGAGCTTTCTTTAGCATCAAAAAAAATCACGCCTTCCACATCTGTCGACTCACGTATGAGATTGCTCGCACGGGAAAGCATTCTTTTTAAAGCTTCAGCTTTTTCGGAAGGGGACCGAGTTTTGATATCGTTAATAGTTGTCTCTCCAGCAGGCATGGATAGATGCGCTTGATCAGGAGACTTTGATAATGAACTCCTGGGGGTTTCGTCCGATGGCGAGTCAGAAGGTATTTCCGGAGAATGTATGGGTAAATTAAGGGTGGATGGTTGATCGAGTTGTTCCTTGAAGCAGGGTGAGATATCCCTCACTTGAACGGAGGAGTGGTTATTCGATTCGTCATTTTCACCTCTCGGCCTGAGTGGAAGATCATTGCAAAGATTACTCGGAGGTGAGGATGAGGTCGGAAATAGAGATATCGACTCCTCCATCTCTCCCAATCGATCAGCAAATGATACATTCGCTTTAGGGCCAGCGGTCCCTAAATTATCAAGGGTATCTTCATCAGGAGCTGTCAGACCTCCTACGCTTCTTGTCGCATATGAATCTTTACCCCGAACAGATGTTTCGCGATCATTTCGAGTGCGCAGCCACCACGATTTAATGCTAGAATGGCCTTCTACAAACAATCCTAATCCTTTCACCATCTTCTCTCCTCTTTGATGATCTCTCTTTACAGCAATGTTCTCAAGGTGCTCCATCACTGTATCGGTTATGTCTGTTAAGAATTCCAGTTCTTCTGGCAGCAATCCGCTCCGAGGACTGTCATCAAACACACTGTATGCCCCTATGTCAAATCCTTCCCGAGATCGTATGGGAACAGTAGCCACGAACCGGATTTTCGGGCATCCAATAATATTGGGGTCGTAACGCAAGTTTTCGTCGGACAGATCATTTATAACTTTCGGTATTACTTTAGGTCGGAATTCAGTGTCGTCGCGCTGGCTCTCTGATCGCGGTGTATTTATAACAGCAGCACATAATGAGTCTTCGCGAGGTATCGTTCGTAAGCCTAGCCATAGGGAATCTCCATCATCGTGTACATCATCATTCTGTGATGATAATGTCTTTGTTGACTCTGCCAAAATGTATTCATGCGTCCGATCAACGAGGGAGATCATGGCCCGCCTTGCCTTTAATCGCAGAGCACCAAGTTGCGCGAAGGCATTGAGTGCTCTATCGGATGACGAGAAGGCCTTGGGGTAGGTTTTTGACTTTTCTGCATTTTTATCATTTTGTTTGAGCGGGGAGGTAAGGGGTGCTGCAAAGGGGGGAAGATATCTAGATGATCCAATGTTAGGGTTGAACAGGAGTCGAAAGGATAAGGAAGATTTGTATCACTGACTTGTAAACTTCTCGTACCCTTTGAACTTCAGACACCCTAACAGATGTTTCCGAACTGAACTTTGTGGGCATCGCAGTTAGAAGGCGAATTAATGGACCCTTTTCACAAGCGTCATGCTCGATTATGAATGCACAATTAATTCCTCAAGAAGGGCAAACTCTACCTAGGTAGGTAGTCACGAAAGTTGAATGAGATTGAAGAAACCAATGAATGAATGGGTGAGCGAGTGAGAGAATGTAAGGGATGGGAAGTCATTTACAAACCGATACCTGGGGACTTGGGAACTGTAATCATGAAAATAATAAGAAGAATCAGAACTCAATGACAATTTATTAAGGTTCGCAAGGTCCTAAAAGATTGTGGTATCAGTAGTAACCTCTTATCAAGTTGTAACAGGAGTAGGAGTAGTAGCTCGTAGCTAGGTATAAGGCGGCGGAGATCTAAGAATGTTGATTGGACGGAGCATTTGAAGTGGATGGAGTCTATCGAATAAAATCTGCATATTGATCGCCGGCAATGGGATGGTGATGGTGAATTATGAATCCGATCATTCAAATTCGTATTAGTAGACTGGTGAATCTAAGCTGCGGTGGGTAACTTGAGGTAGGTAGATAGGTAGGTATGTAGGTGACTGAGTCGAGTACTGGGCATACGACATGATACTAAGGAAGTGACTATCGGTGGTTGGATCTTTTTTTTATTTATTTTTTTCTTTCCTTTCTCATTCTCTACGAAGATCCGGGCTGGGATGGATGGATTGGAAGAGGTTTGGGGAGGGGTGGGGTAACCTTGAATGCACGATCTTCACGTCTCTCGAGGGAGTGTTCATGTATCATGAAAATATCAGCTGTGGCTTATGTCTTGTGGCTGATGGGCTGATGAGCTGACCTCGGGATATGGGCTGATGCAGGCGGCTGCCGACATCCATGGACGCCTGGGCAGTGGCTCGTGGCTGGTGGCTCGTGGCTCGTGGCTCGTGGCTCGTATGTGGCAAATTCGATTAGGTAACTTCCAAGGCCACTTTTACCACAGTACCTACCTAGTACCTAGTAAGCGAGTAATGAAGGACATCAACCATTTCCAGTTCCAGTTCCATGGTCGGAAGGTAAGACATTGTTGCAAAATCCAGACTCCATTGTACATCATCAATCCTGAGCCTCTATCAATGCTTCACTATTACCCATGAAAACCCAAATTAAACCTCAGTTCATCAATTATCCATCTCGATTACAACAATAATCCTAACTCAACCCCGCAATCCGATGTTACCTCCCGAGGCGTTCCAAGTTCAACGGATTCTGATCCTTCAATACATCACCCACTTTACATGCTTGATGCGGGGTATAGTGCATCAGAGGCTCGAATTTTGTTTGGCCATGGTCACGTTTCATCGATTAAAGACATACTACGATATGCGTAGATCTCTCCTTATCGAGCAGTCGGTGGTTAAGTATAACTTGGATAGGAGCTGCTGATTTTCAGGATATGTCATGTGGAAGAAAGGCTAGTATACCACATGTGAACCACATTCGAAACACCAGCATGAGACATATTCTAATGGTATAGATATATATACGCCAAACGCCATTTCTCTGTTGGATACTATGTGATTGAAGCGCTAACAGCATCATTCACGAGCATCAGCGCGAAATCCATCCCATCAAAGTTCATGGTCCTCATCTATCATCAATTCCCGCTTCCCATCTTCGATATCACCATTCTAATTAAAACGGAGCCAAACATGGCTGTATTCAGGTGATATTATCGGGTATCTTTTGTTAGCCAAGAGCTGTCGTCGGTATTATGTGGCAAACTGGACAGCACTTTACTAATGATTGTCTTCGGATTGATACTAATTTGTATTGCAAGACATCAGAAAATCAACTTAGGCTGATCCTCAAGCTACACTATAGTCCATATGTGGAGCGCATCAGCTTGTTACTCTACAAAGCCGCTTGCCTATAGCTCATTTTTTGTCCAAATGTTCCAGGTGACTTGAGGAACTCCATCCCGTGAACTTCTGGCACCTTTCAACATCACGATTTTACAGCTACAGTGGATGGTTAGAGAGTGCAAGTTTCACATCAGACATACTTGATCGCTTGCCGTTCAAAAGCAAAACTACTCAGGTTCAATTTCTATCTACAAAATCTTTGACGATTCTGGTTGCATACTGGCAGTCTAAACTTAGGTTTTTAAGTACATGGAAAGAAAATGTCAAGAGCGCCACGAGCTTTGGCGGGCTATTGAATTTCTTGCTTAAACGGATGACTTTCCCGAAAAAATCTTCCTCACCATCATGATATTCTATCATTCATCCCAGCAGACTCAACAGAGGTTTCTCGTTGAGAGGAAGCTCCAATGGAGCTTTGGCCACAGCTAAGTTGAATGGCGTGATCATGGTATCCGATGACTTGCGAGGTTGTTTCTTATGAGCAAATAACTCAGCTAGATAATTCAACCACAAAGGAGTAGAAGATGTGATTGTCGCAGAGTGATCCAGTCCCGGATATCTCTTTAAATATGCAACATTTCCTGCATTCACGGTTGCCTGGAATGAATCTAAGGTAGTTTGAGGGAGAACTGAAGTATCGTTCCAGCCCTGGATGATCAATATTGGCTTCGAAGCTGAATCACGTTGTGCTGGGGCGTTCGTATCCTGGAATTTTTTGAGAAATTCATCAGTCGCAGGTGTTACATCAGCGACTGTGTACTGGTCTCGTGGCAAGTCTAGTGAGAGGCCCATAGAAGCTAAAGTACATGACTGCGTAATATCGGCCAACTCCAACCGCTTTCTCATCCCATCGGCTAACAATGGTGTCATGTAATTGGGATAGGTTGCTTTGAGGCCGTAAATAAGTTGACCAAGCTCGGCAGTAACGACGAATTGATGAAAATCAGGACGAGGAATTATGTGTTCGAAGATCTCGACCGACATGTCATAAAGCTTAGATGCAGGAGATATGGCAACTGTTCCAAGATATCCAGAGGAATGCTTTTGTACAAGAGGATGTTCCGATAGCTTCCACACGGCGCCACCTCCTTGAGAATGGCCAAGGCCGGCGTAATCGGTTGCTACAACAGCATAGCCATTATACATCAATGGAACCCAACTATTATAATCAAAAAGACTTGGAGAAGATGAGGACGCGCGTCCTCGACGAACACCAATTGTACTGTGGGCGTAGGCGATCAGGGGAAACTGGCTTCCATTCGCTGGTGAGGCAAAAGGGAATGCTATAAATCCACTGGATGGTACGATAGTACCATCTAAGTCTACAGAAGTGTACTGGAATCAAAAAGTCGCAATGCCATCGGGTGTGGTCAGGTTAGAGCTATCGACAGGCTCCAGTTTTAAAAGATCGCCTGGAGCCGAGGAAGAGAAATTGTTTGGTGTGTTGTAGAAATCAAAGTTGAATTCTGTACCAATGGTTTCGAGGTCGGCAGCATTAGCATAGGATAGGATTGCTTGACAGGATGCATTGCATCCATATGATTGGAGCTCAGCGGTACTGATATTGAAGTTTATGGCTTGGCCGATTGCTGATCTGGCTGGTAATGCCAGATATAACAGTGAAAGAATTGTAGTGACGAGCATGGTGGTAGAGTGAGTATGTATAACTTGATGAAGATGGTGATGGAAAGAAGATGAGACGAAAGTCCCTTTATATATACGGAAAGATTCAAGGTATTTTCAAATCGGAACCTGCGGGCATTAAGATCATGTACTTCATTGAACCGTAATTATAATTGATGATGATCGTTCATGCCAAGCGGAGAAAGTGTCTATGAGAATAATCAATCAATTCAACAAAGATACCTAGGCATTGCAGAACCGATAGAATTATAGGAGGGAATCCACGCGCAAGGCCGACTCGTACATCATTTCAGTGGATCGCTCCGAACGAAAACGAACCCCGAAGTTCAGCCGTCGTATGGACATTCATCGTATGGACATGACATCGTAGGATCAGTACATTAGCCGAGTCTACGCATATATGTACATGTGCTGCAATGTGGGAAAATTTGCAATGTAATGGAATAGTATTGGATTTCTTGGTCGTTTGAGCTTCGCTAGATAGGTAGGTATCGATAGGTATCGGGATTTAGATTTGGATTTTTATATAGGCGGATCGGATCGGATCGCTGCTGCGGTCATGTACCTATGTAGATATTTGTCAATTGAATTGAATCATCTGAGGTGATTAGATGGATTTTGTGATATCGTATGGAAGGTCACTGTGAGTGAGTGAGTGAGTGAGTGAGTGAGTGAGTGCGCTAAATGAATTATGGGGTTCCTGTTCGACTTGCTTCGTTTGGAGGGGGGTGGAGTGGAGGGGAGGATTAGGTAGGACGAAATCGTTTAGGGGTTTTTGGGATTGGGGATTGGGGAATTGGAACTTGGAGATGATGAGAAATTATAATTACAATTGAAGATTTGGAAAGAGGGAGAGAGAGGGATTGGGAGAATGTAGTGAATGGAGATGCGAGTTGGGTGGTGTAGTTGATATTTTGGGTTGCTGGTGTGGGGTGGGATGGGGTGGTGCGTGGATTTGGTGTGGATATGTGTGTGTAGATGAGTATAGTGTATAGTATATAGTATATAGGATGAGACGGGAAGGGTGTGGTGCTGTTCTGAGTAATCCCTTTTGGGGGGGGGAAGGAATCGTCGCGGGAATTTAGATGGAGTAGAGTAGGTAGCGATTGATTTTTAGATGGGACTGACTATTGAATTGACATATTCACATTCATGAAACTGACGAGCAAGACGAGCAATAGCCATCTGTGTAGCAAGGTGCTAACCATTCCTGCACGGTGCACCATTAAAACTTACTGCTATCTACTATACCCGCGCAGTATCTGTATCGATAGTGATCTACTTATTTCCTACATGCACAGCGCGCTTGGTTAGACGAACGCGGCGGGAATCTTCCATCGAGAGATGAGAGTGAGAGATATGAAAGTGCGATCAGTTTCATCACACCGGTCCATATACACTTTTAACAACAGAGTCTCTAGCAACTTTTTCCCCAAAAACTGGACCGGAAGAATACCTGCAGGAGAAGATCTGATGGGTGGCTCGATCTTTTCATCATCTTGTTGAACGGTTTTATGCAATACAGTACTATGTATGTGAATTGATGTATCTCCCGTCATAATCTCAGTCTCAAAGATATTCGCAGTTTGGGCTTTCCGGGCTGGCTGCTGTGAGATTTAGTTGTGATTTTGGCTACTAATTTTTGACTAGGAGATCGTGCTGTTGTAGTGAGGGGGGGTCTATCCTAGTTTGTGAGCAGATATATTTTTATGTAAATAAGAAGTTTTTTAACCGTCGGGTATCAGGTTTTTGGTGAAGGGTTTTGTGGTATTGTATGGATGATATGTGCGGTTGTGATAGCACCCCGTGAGGTATTCAGAAAGAAGGGCTATCTGAATTTCCCGTGTTTGAATCACTTGCATCAGGATTCCTATCTCGATAGAAACATCTTCTGGAAATCTTGGTAGCAGGACGTATATATAGCAGTAACAAATTGATACGGCTACAACGCGCCATGAGTGTAGGTAATTGCTTCATGGGACTGGTTGCTGAAGCTGAATTGCTGCGGTTCATTATCGTTAGAAAGTGCTCTTTATTGGATATTTGCAGGAGACTTACTTTTTGGATCGTATGTACATCTAGCTTCTCCACCCCCTTGACAAGCTCTGGCAGATTTTCTCACGGGTTCTTTAGCATCTCATGGGCCTCTTTCATCTTCTCCGTATCAGTGAAAGCAACAACTCAAGCAATGTCTCGTGCTTCATCTTCTTTGAACCCTTCTTCTCTTGATCGGTTGAAGAGGAGGATTTATGCATCAAATACAATTCGAATAGCGGTGCGCTTGCGACCCCGTATCTATTCTGGCATGTTTTGTGCTCACAAAAAGGGGGCACCTTGATATGTACTTCATTCCTAACAGTTGCGGCGCTGTGTATTGTCTTCCTTTCGAGAATAGCTTAAACTTTCATTCTATATGGCGTTATTTGGAATACTTTTCAAGCATCTTAGAAAGCAGAAGAACACAGCTCAGAGCTCGATTATATTGATTCGACTATTTTCACGCGCACGTTCCCATGAAAATGGCATATAAACTAGACCATCCATTCGCTTCCTTTATACATTTTCGTCACACAGATCTACAGTCTGACATCAGCCTGATCCCCAAGCAGTCCATGGAGGACCTTAATCTTCCCATTCTCCACAATGATAAATCCGTTCCTTCAAGAGCAACTTCTCCCTTTGATCCAAACGTCCATGCGATAAGCACGAGATTCTGCATTTGCTTCACCGGCCCCACGGTCTTGAATTCCCAGTCGACGTTCTGCTCGAGTATCTCCTGGACGCGTTTATCGATGGCATCGTGGCCTTGGATTATCACGCCATACGGTTCGTATATAATGCCATCTTCGTGATAGACTGATTTGATTGCTTCTCGACGCGAAGCAGCGTCGTAATTGCCAAAGACGTTGAAGAGGTTGCCACGAGCGAGTTCCACGGCTCTTTTTTGAGTTTGCAATAGTGCCATGTTGAAACAATATGGGATGATGTAGGTTTGGAGTGTTTTTGGAGAGAGTCTTTGTATCTTTGAGGAGTTGAGCTCTTAAAAAAGATGCTGCTGAGATATTTATACAATATGTTTACATCCCAACATTCAGACGTCCGAGCCGAATCGTGCTATGCTTATCAAGAACCCAAACATATCCGAAGACTAGCATTGATTTGATGACGTATGATAGATCGATCGGTGTTACAGTCTTTTTGTCAGCTTTCTATTGAAAACCCGTGCTGGCTTGATATCTCATCATACAGCTCTTGGGTACTAGGTTCACTCTCTTCATCTGAAGCTATATGCAATCAGTGTTGGGAGCAGCCACAAGAGGCGATGAGACGAGACGCTGATGCAAAAAGAAGCATGTCATTAAGTGATAAAATGCATGCTCCATATTCTCTAAAGCTGCCGAGAGTCAGAAAAGTATTTTGGAGATGCTGTGCGATTGCGGGTCGTTGTGGGATGCTCGGGTTACTGTGGGATGGCGGGTCGCTGTGCCCCACTACGGAGTATTAGAATGATTGAGTTCATCCTCGCCTCCAAAGTGGCATTCTTGTTAGCTTTAATAACTCGGAATGATCAATCCTACTATACCCCCTCTATCAATATAAACCCTTGGGAGCGATAATGTAGCACTTGCGGGAAGACTGGTTATAATGTGCGCACCTGTCAAAATACTACCGCATTCATATGGACGCTAATAAGGATTGATCATTTTAAGGCCAATTGGCTTCCCTGCAAACGAAGTAAAACGCCTCAAAATAAAAGTATTTCACAGAAGTATCAGGCATTCAATGAGTGATCCATTGAACAGATAGATTAAATCATACTCAAGTGTAACTCGATATTTGCTACAACCCTAACGCACCATAAGCTTAAATAACCAATCCTTGCAAACATTCAGCGAATTATCTGGATGAATACGGTATATTTGCATGAGTTTATCAGACTCCAAGTAGTTTAATTCATTCTATGCCTTGTGATTGTTTATCTCTATTTGAAAATGGTGGGGTAGGAAAATGTGCACCGCTCGCCACTCGAGGATGAACCACACCATCCCTTTCCAGAATGTCAGCGCTGCTCACTGCCGCCTTATTTAGACACTAGGGACTTGAGACCAATCTCGATTTTTGAAATAATCCACTACATTCTTTAGTCGAGGCGGAGAGTTCAACTAAACATATTAGCAACTGAAAGGATGATGACAACGCTTACGAAATTACATCTTTGGGGCGAATGATATCAGGATCATATTGTCCTTCATATCCGAACTCGTTGCAGTAAGCCCAGTTTTCATTTCAATAACAAGCTCAGGCGGAACCGGAATCCTTGATTGACCCTTTGGCAGTAAGACATGTTCTGCTTTCTTACCAGTAGCTAGGGTAAAAGCCTCGATGATCTCACAGAGATTGCTCCATTCCCTACAGCCAATGACATTCTCTCCTGCACTCTTTTGCACGAGCGGCTTTACGATGGGGCCAGTGTCCTCTTCCGCAGCGATGAAAGGAAGTTTAACATCGAGATTCAGATTGCGGACACACTGGGCTGCACCATGTGCAGTCTAAAGAGATTCAGCAATGGTTCGGCAAGGCCAAGACGGCTAGCAGAGGACTTACCATTTGGGGCTGGAAGAACGAACTCGACACAAAGTTGCTCAAGAAGAAGCCTGTTTGGAAGATGCTGGTTTTCTTCCACAACTCGGCATAGTTTTCTTCTCCTCACGCTGCTGCCTTGGCCTTCGAGTCAGAATGGTATACGTCAGGGTACTTTCCATCGGACCATTTGATCGCATTGGAGAGAGAAGATAACAAGGAGTTTCTTGGTGGACATGATGGTTGAGAAGCTATCGGAAGATTTTTGGTATTTGAGTCGAAGAGCGGCAGGTTCAGCTGGTTATAATGAATGATAGAAAAGCAAGCGTGGTCTGCTGCCCTTTTACAACCGCTATCCTCGATATCGAATTTCTAAGTGCCGAAAAATCATCGTCATATCATTTCGCCACGACACGGTGAGCAATAGGAGTTTCAAAGCTTAATAATGAGTTTCAGGCTCCGTGAGAGGTTCCTTGCTGAAGTGATGTAACTAGTCCGTCCGAGTTCTCCGAATTTTTACTTGGATTAAGTAAGAATTAGAATTTTGTAAAATCGCGGGTTTTATCAAAATTAAGACTTATATGACTTAGCATATTAGTCTTGATATACCTAGTTACAATTGCACTTATAGAAAAGGTAGACGAATAATGTCTCATAAATAAGGGACATTCTAGTACACTATTTCAGCACTTGTCTGAGAAGTAGAATAAGATGAATACGGTCAAAACTACGTTGTACGGGAATATTGTCTCTAACTAAGACGCTCTAGTTATCGTTAAAGCTTGCCATCGAGATGATCCCGTCCATACTGCTCGTCAACATATCATCCGGTCATATATCTGCGAACTAGCAAGCTTTATCAAAGGTAGTTACAAATTTGCTTGTGAGGGCCATCTGACCAGTATCAGAACATGCTTGAATACTGACTGAGAAGAATGAGTGTGGTGAGCATCTTCTTAAATCTGATTTCTATATGGAGTTCTCAAAGATTCCAGGTGCAATGGTGTCGGCAAGGGCCCATTCATGAGGCAGTTAAGCTTGAAAAAGATCTATCAGAGACGCTGTATTGCAACCGCAAAGTTGTATACCTTGTATTTGCAGCCGAACCATCAGGCCTTGGTCGCCCATCTCAATCCAAGCTTGCTTCTCTTTTTCAAACAGAGACCCGGGCATACTCCATGTTGTCAAATCAACAACTGGGTTAGCTCCCGGAACACAAATTTCGCAGCCACGGTCGCAAAATTTGCAGAATGTCCAGACTGTGAGAGCGCTGACACACAATGCGGCGTAGCGTATAGGATCCGAGGCTTGGACATTTGCTGGTGTCCCAGAACCGTTTCCGAGGTTTCTTTGGGCCACGAGGACATCGACAGACTGACACAATGCAAACCTAACTGCTGTTGTTGAAGCCCACCCATTCATAGACGTTCGTCGCTGCTCTCTGGCAAGGCGATGAGCTTCAGAAAACTCCTCGACGGTACTCAATCGTTGATCTCTGGCAATTTGGATGAGCTTGTTAACATTAACCGATAGATGCATACTCAAGAGGGAGTGAAGCATGACGGCATCGAAAAGCATGCTTTTAACTCGAGTCGTGACAGCATCGTGACAGCTAGGCAGGCTATGATCCTCGGAGCCATAGTAATATCGAAAAATTAGAGGTTCATTGTGTTGCAAATTGTACTTCGAGTATGAAATAACTTGACCTATTATTTGGTCTAGTCTCGATTTGAGTCGATCCAGGCGTCTTCTCAACATATCTTTACGGAGGACACTGTTGCTCCGGCAGTCTGTCTGAAAAAATGTGTTCTGAGAATATTTCCAGATGTCGGATTGTATCGCACACAAGAACAGGTGGATATCTTCGATAAGCATCGGTTGTTCTTGTGTTGAATCAGCGTTCAAGGGGCTGTCCGCAATCAAACTAAGCATTGACTTCGAATTACGATAAGTTGGCTCGTCATTCTGGCGCTCTTCCCAAGTCTGAAGTTCTTTTGCGTTCCATAGTGAAAGCGTACAAGGGAGTGGAAAGTGCAGCTCTTCTGGAAAGATTGTCATGGGTTTGTTTCGTAGGACACTTATATAGGCATCTAATTTGGACATGCAGTATGCGAGTCTGGTTCAACCTCAGCATGAAACTGGGACGTGAGCAAGACACTTACCTCTGCCGTTGCCCGAGTTTTGCGTAACGCATTGGTGCAAAATAGCCTTTCCTCTCGTCTGGCCATGCTGTCTCGGGTCTAAAGAATCCAATTTCTCGAAGAATAGTCATCAGTATGTTCCAAAGTACTATCGTACGGGATATCTCGCGCTCATGCTATAATTTGGTGAGCCGCTATTGAAATAGTGAGACGGATAGGTACTAACCCCATATTGCAACGCAAAAATAATGTTTAACAGTGCTGCGTTACATATAGAGATAGTCAATGACTGTTGAAGTATGTCTTGTGACGTGATCAAACACTGAACATACATTCGTTAGCTATTTGCAAATAATCAATGACAGTTTTCTGGTGCCCATACCAGCTGGGACATGATACGATCAACTAAAACCACGTGTGTGTCGATAGCAAATTGAACAGCTCTGCCGGTACCGAGCAACCATGCGCCAATCATTCTCATGGATAGCTCGCATAACTCATTCTCATTTGCTTCCTCCTCGTGAGAATGACAATGGACAATTGGCTAACGGTGATGGAAATGATCAAAGTAGACCTCCAAATACATCTCTGAATATTTTTGCGACTCATCAGTCCCCATTGTCGTTGCGGTGTCAGTTGTCACTTGAATGTCAGGTCGAATTGAAATCGTTGTCCAGTCAATTAGGCCACGCGTCCTCGCCGCGAAAGGTACTTTCCTAATCAGCAGAATCTGAGAGTCAGTTTGTTCCTCTAAGAAGTTCCAAAAATTCCCAAGGACAACGCGATGGCTCGCATTATTGCAGGTCTCAAGACTGTATTAACAGTGCGGAAACATAAAACTGCTGCGAAACAAAGAACTTACCCGGCTGGTGCCATTGGTGGGCATGTACTCGTGGTTGAATTCGAAGGTGTCTCACCTCGAAGGGGCTGGGTCAGAGGCCCACTAAACACATTATCCGAAGATTGTGATATGGGTGTATCCATAACCTCATCCCAGCTGGGATATTTATCCCTCTGGATGTCGTCGTCGTGACTATACTTGCATTCAATCTCCCTCTAAGCACACCGTGAGCAAATACCATTGCCACTGCCATCACATTTCACTTTCCCTGCACGGCACTCCAGGCAAGCATGTTTGCTCCTTCCCGAAGGATTCTCTTTGTTCGCGGCACTGTGTTTGACTCTATGGCGTAGAAGGCTGTCTCTATTTCAGATGTCAGCATCTTGTTTCTGGGGGTGCTCAGAGTTCCTAATGTGCATATCAAAGTGACATGCTAAAGTATCAGATCTTCGGGTCCTTTCATCAAGACCAAAAGCCAAGAGCCTTACAGCGAAGAAATTAGGTCCGGCCAAAGTCTTATGAGATCCTGCTCGAGATCTACTTCTAAATCTCAAACCCATGTCTACTGTTGTGTTATTTAATCCGCGTCTTGATATAGTAGATACTCCTTCTCATGTAGTGCTCTGCGTGTCACATTTTCTAATATCGTGTGGAAAACTAGAAAATTGGAAGTCATACTTTCGATTGAAACGTCGTTTACAAACTTGACATTGAAGCGAATTAGCAGGGATGTGGCTTTTCTCGTGACGGGACAGATGCTCTTTGCGTGCGAAAGACTTTCCACAGTCATCATGTTTGCAAAAGTATCGCTGAGAGTCTATCCCGGGCATCAGGCTCAATGTTATTGTTAGGATTCGTGATGATCCGGTGCGGAATCATCTACAAGACGAAATGAAGCAGTGCCAGGAACATGACACTCCCCCAACAGACGGAATGAATCGGCGATATACGGAATACAGTGCACTCTCGCTTTTTACGAATGCTTGAAATTGGAGGGTGTTTCGGGGAAGATGTAGCATTAGAAATTACGTTTGTAATAATAATAGTTAATGAATGTTATTTTCGAATGTGCATCACCTCATATGAAAGTTCTCTGATTACTAAGCTGTTGATCTTTTAATCGTCCGTCGGCCCGGACTGCACCTGGCTTAATAATACGAGTCCCCCTGACACGATTTATAAGGCCCTCGTATAAGTCGGATACCCCACTCTCGGGCCACCCCTCTTTTAAGCCACCTCAAAAAAGCTTATCTAAGAGAGAACGTGACCTCTGCGAGGTAGGCTTTTTAAGAACGGAGAAGGTACGGGGAGAAGGGAGGGAACAATAAGGGATCGAGGATGAATTGAAGTAGAGCGAAAGTAGAGACAGAAACCAAGAGGAATGACAAACGTGAGAGAGAAGAATGAAATAAAGAGGCCAATAAAAAGCGACGTGGAGGTTAAGAGGGCAAAAATGATTCGGCAAAATTAGAGAAAAAACTAGGTGTAGTATTAAAGGAATAGAAAAAGTATAAAAAAGAATGGAATACAAAAAAAGATAAGAAGAAATAAAAGAAGTAAAAAAAGGAAATAGCAATGCTAGATAGTATAAAAGGTATAAAAGAGAAAATACTTCCAATATGAAAAAAGAAGCATAGTGGAAAAATAGTAATATAAAAGCTGAACAAAATTTAGACAATTAGAAGTAAAAAAAAAAATTAAAAGTCAAGCAGTATATATTAAAACTATAATTCTCAATATTATTGAAAATTAATTTTCAAATTTGAATTTATTTTTAATTTGTTATATTAAATCTGAAAATCGATATAATATAAATAAAATAAATATATAAAAAAACTAGGGATTAAATAAATTAGTTTTAGAAAACTTTGAATATTGATTTATTCAAAAAAAAGAGTTTGGTTTTAGAGTTTGAATATTATTTATAGAATATATTTTAATTATAAATATAATTTTCATTCCTTTTATTATTTATAAGGGAAAGTCAATATAATAATAATAATTTCCAATAGATTTAATATGTTATATAAAATGAAAATTTATTATTATAAAAAATAAATAGATTACAAATTATATTAATCTAAAATAACTTAAAAGAATTTTTATTTTTCAAATAATTCTTTCCTTATCAAACAAACTTAAACTTCTTATATTAAATAAATATAAAAGTTATAAAATTATTAAATTTATATATAAATATTTTAAATATAATATATATCTCTTATTTCTATTATTATATATGATATATTCTATAACCTCTTGATTTATTTATGTTCTTATTTCTCAAAAGAATATATAAATATTACTTTAATAAATCAGCTTTTTTATTGAATTCTAAATTAATTAAAAAAATTAATTTCTTTATAATACTAAGTAGTTATTGAATAATTCATGTTTTAATATTATATAATATAAATTCTTGAGGTAGCCCAAAAGTGGGGTGGCCCGAAAGTGGGGTATCCGGCTTACTAGTTACTTACCTATCTATAACATTACCAGTAAGTTGAAGTTTAATATTAGTTAACTGTTATCCAGAAAGACTCTTTATATGTTCTTAAATCAATTGCAAGCCCAAGTTTTACACATGCACTCAGGATTTGGAAAATGCGTTTTCATAACACTTTGTTTGTGGGAGTTACCACTTTCTTTTCTCTATGCGCAGCTATTACACCACCAGGTTTAAATTTAGTCAATTCGACTGACCTAGGTTTGGAATCCCTTGATCCGGCAATATATGCCCAAATTTTAGAGCTTGGCGGGCAGTTCGGAGGCGTTGATAAGTGTCAATTGGCAGTGAGTGTCCTATTTCACGATTTACTTCATGAATGCGATGTTTATCAATCATGTTGTCATTAATTTAGTGTAAAATTCTCTCCATCCTCTCTCCCACCAAACTCACAACCCCGTCGTCTCCATCCTACATACCCCTCCCATATTGGTCAGTTCAACAAGCCGAAGTCGTACCGAGCTGTCGTTTCGATGTCACAATTCCTCAAGATATCTCTACAACTATCAAAATTTCTCAATTGACGGATTGTCCTTTTGCTGTGAGAAGCGGGGGACATGCATCATTTGCTGGAGCATCAAGTATAAAAAATGGTATCTTAGTCAATTTGCAAAAATTAAATACAGTTCAATTGAATGCAGACAGAGGAACAGTAAGTATCGGACCTGGAAATACATGGTATGATGTCTATCAGGTGTTAGATCCATTGGGAATAAGCGTAGTCGGAGGAAGGGAAGCTGGAGTTGGAGTTGGAGGACTCACACTTGGAGGTGGAATATCTTATTTCTCTGGCAGATACGGATGGGCCTGCGATAACATTCTCAATTACGAAGTTGTTCTCGCAGACGGCAGTATTGTCAATGCATCTGCAACATCACATCCAGATCTATACCAAGCCCTTCGTGGTGGATCCGGTACGAACTTCGGGATAGTAACGAGGTTCGACGCATTTGCATTTGAACAAGGACTTCTATGGGGAGGATCAAGATTTTACAGTTTGGCTTCCAATGCTTCACTCTCAGATGTGTTTTCGCAGTTTATTGTTGATGCACCGACTGATGAGGATGCCCATCTATATATTGGTTGCGGATATGTACCGAGTTTGGGAGGGTTTGTGACGTTGAGTGGTCCCGTGTATGCAAGACCGGTAGCAAATGCGACAATTTTTAATGCGCTGAACGATATTGTAAGTTTAGGAGATGCGACGGGAGTAGCGAGTATGGTGGAGTTGTCGGTGCAACTTAATCAGACGGCTTTTTTGAGGTAAGATCTTGCCGTATTATGAAATGTTAGGAGTGTTTGTGCTGATTTATTCTAGAGAAGCGTATGTGATCCTTCTTTTAATCATTCCAAATAAGCGATATTTGCAATCCTCCGCGGATTTGAGATTGAAATCACCAGCGTCCTGCAATGACTATGTCTTATTTCCATTGACTCTCCTGTTTGAAAGCATATACACATATACTTGTTAAGACAAGATGATAGACCTTTTTACATATCGGAAGTCTCTTGTTACTAATATTCAGAATCACTGCTAACATATCAAACTCTCTTCGGTTCTAGATGGAAAACAGTTACTTTCAAAAATAACGCCACTCTTTTCAAAAAGATTCATGAAATCTTTGTGGAAGAGGCAAACCTGATCGTAGACGTTCCGGGAATTATGCCATTCATGGCACTTCAGCCTCTTTCACTTAATATCATTGTACAAATGCAGAAGAGGGGTGGGAACATATTGGGCTTAGAGACGGAAGAAGGTCCGCTTAGCAGTAAGTTAAGGAAGAGATGAAATGCATAAAGGGGTTAAGAGGGAGAGATAACGGGAGAGTAGTGAAGGAGGAAGAGAGGAAACGGGTAAAACCCAAATAGGAAAGAAGCTAACAGAAGATAGTAATGAACCTTAATTGGGGATGGGAAAATGAAGAAGATGACGAGAAAGTTTTCACGGCATTGAATCGATTTGTAGAAAGAATTGTTGAGTCAGTACTCCCTTTCTTTGCTTTGTCTATTTTTCTGGAAGACCAAAATTGCTGACTCTGTAATTGTGGTAGTTTGGCAAAAGAATGGGGACTTGACAATCAGTTTATTTATATGAATTATGCGAGTAAAGAACAAGACGTTTTTGGTGGCTATGGAGAGGTTAACGAGAAGAAGCTCAGGGATATACAAAGGAAGTATGATCCCGAGGGAGTTTTTAAAAGGCTGCAGCCGGGGTATTTCCAACTTTGACTGGAGAATGATGGATGAGGACAGTCGGCAGATTCGGGGGTGAAGTAATGAAAATCGGCAATGCATGTACAAGATTTGCTATTTTGAGAGATCTAGATTCAGCGACCTTTTAATTTAGTCAAAACCTGCATCTAGACTTTTCTCTAGAATTATCCTCATGCAAACAATCAGATCATTGGATCTTCGCAGATCCCGGTAGATCAAAGCGCGCAGCCGTTCAATGGCCATCATTTGGATAACCTACCACAACATGATCATTGAGCCTCAAGCTTTAACTATTCTATACTCTCATCGGTAAGCAACTGAACACATCGATTCATTTTTAATCCGACTGGTTCACGTTACATTTCTCATGTGAGTCAAGCTTTTAATTCGCGCTTGTCGTTTCATCCACTCATTTTCGGGTTCGCTAAGCACATCCCTTGAAATTAATCCTAGCCAATCAAATGATTCACAGCCCGACTCTTTCAGACGAGATAATTTTACTAAGCGCCAACGTCATGTTTGAGCTTTATGTTGTGTATTTTGCATTTATTGGATGAGAAAACTTGGGTGGAAACTACAATGAATTGTTGTGAATCGTACAGCAAACTGGCTAGTTGTCTGTTTACCTGTCGATCTGATGGAGTTCTGGAAAAGCGCCAAGTGTGTAATGCAATGCACTCAGTGGGTTTGGGTCTCATTCCCGGTCATGTTCATTGAGATTTCGAGTATATAGAATGAGTCGAGACTTTTGGTAGCATGATTTCAATTTCCATATTCTACTCATCATTCGTTTTCCTATTCTCAATTCCATTCATTGTTTCGTGTCTTGTCTGTCGTTGATTATTTCCTTCCTTTCCTTTTTTATTCACAACTTTCTTTGCTAACTTGTTAATCATTAATTTTTGATACCAAATATTGCAATCTTTCACATCTTTATCAGCACATATATCTAGTACATCTCTAGCTTTTTCTTTTCTCCTGAAAACACTTCCGACGGAATAATTGTTGAAGAAGTATCATTTCTACAATCATGAAAGTCTCGCTTCCACTTTTTCTTTTTGGTACAATTTTTCTTTCTCATCTTAGTGCGGCTGGTCCATTGTGGCGCAATGGAACAAGTAGGAAGTAAGTACACTTCTCTTCGACCCTAGGTCGCTTTGCGTGAGTGGTTTCGGGATGGATAATTCTAATTTGGCGCTAGCTTCGTACACGGTGGTGAAAGGAAAAGAGATAGCGTTACTCCCATCGCGATCACTATCCTACCTGGGACGGTCACTTATTCGATAACTAGTTCTACAGTTCAACCCGAATCCACACCATTAATAGAAGGAACTACCACATCCAGTACGAGTGTAACAGCTCTTTCTTCACAGCCCATCAGGACTTCAGCGACGTCCGTGGTACAATCAACAGAAGGATTAAAGACAACGGAATCGAAAAGCGCGACGATCATCTCTAGCACGTCATCGAACGAAGATAATGAATCCAAGACGTTGTTGAGCTCTACTACATCTCTCTCGCAGCTGGTCTCTTCAATAATATCAAGTACAGGAGGTACAGCCCCAGCACGATCAAGTCAAGTTTCAAATACTGAAACCAGAGATGGAAGCATAATTCCAACAGCAACAGAGTTGACACTTACTATTACTCCACCGCTGAATACAGCTCCCACCGGAAAATCTTCTACGAAGAGTCAAACATCAAGCCAGACTACATCTGAATCACAAGCTAGTTCTTCCTCTTCGAGCCAGGTTTCTTTGCAGATTACAACATTTGCGCCTCTACCCACCACTTTACCTGAGAGCAGTCTTACGGCGAAAACTTCCTCAACATTAGTAAATAGTTCAACACTTTCGAGTCTAAATTCTGTTCAGACTACGACATTCCCACTACTTCCAACTACCTCTTCAAAGGCTACTGCAACCCCAGAAAGCTCTTCGGGTAAAACTTCCGAGGGGTCTTCCTCAGCAACTTCAACATCATTACCGACACTAGTGTCGAGTATATCAGTCGCACCATTCGGTATTGGAAATTCAAGCACGGCAGCCACAGGAATTCCGCAAAGTTCCAGTAATTCGGGTCCCAGTTCCGAATTCACAGTTGGTATTATAACGGAAGCATCTGGGGTCACTTCCCAGACTTCCATAAGGGAAACGCTGTCACCTATCACGGTTCTATCAAGCACTGCTGGAGCCTCAAGTTTAGTGGAGAGTGTCTTGTCGACGAAGGAGACTTCAAAGGTTACGGCTCAACCGCAGAGCACTATTGCACAGACTAGTACGACGGTGACTCGGGCGCCAGTCTCTACCACAGGAGCATCTGAGCAGAGTATTATTCCTCAAACCTCAATAACGGAAGATTCGTCTCAGGCGACATCGGGTGATTCTCTGCAAACTACATTCGTATACGTAACCACGGTAGTTCCATCTTCTACTCTTGGAGTTATCCTAACCTCTTCATCTTCATCCACAACCTCAACTTCATCTATACAAGTAAAAACCACAAAGCTTAACTCCTCTACATCATCATTCTCCTCAGCGGCAACAACTATCAAGACATCCGAGGTCTTTACAATTACCGCGTCTTCAGAGCCACAGACTACAATTTTCCCCGGGCTACCCACCACACAACCTGCTAGCACAGCAGAAATCTTCATAACAACCGTAACACCTTCAACAAAAACAAGAGAATCATCTTCTAGCACCACAAAAACACCTACATCTACACCCTCTATCACAAAGACCACCATTCAAGAATCTGTCATCGCACCTACAACCCAGAGAACCACAGCCGATGTCCCCAAAACTACAGAAATAGCCAGCACTATAATCATCAATGTAAACACTGCAGAATCGAATAATGGGGCTGTAACTGCATTAACTATTATTCCCGTTACTGCTGGATCCGGCTCTAAATCTAATTCTGGATCTGGCAATGACGCTCCCAAAACCACAACCAGTGATGAAAATGCAGAGACAACCACATCCAGGATCATCATCAACGCCAGTCCGACAGCTACCACGACAGCCGGAGGTAATGGTCTAGCACAGACTACATCTTCTCCTTTACCCATTTCTTCAACTCCTGTACGCACATCTACGACTGAGATAGATGATGGGCTGAAAACGACAACGTTGAGTATCTCGCCACCGAGAGAAACGAGTATTACGATTGCTACTGCGCCTGCGCCGACGTCTGCACCGGTAGCGACGAGTACGAGCGCAGCAGGGAATGTTTGTTTGGGGGTGGGAGGAGATGGGAAGATTACTAGTATGAGTAGTTGTGTGGGTGGTGCGACGGAGACGGAGACGGAGACGGTGAGTGTGAGTGTGACGATTACGGCGAGGGAGACGGTTACGGTTAGGGGGTAGGGTTAGGAATGTGATAGGGGGACATTTTGGGGGAGGAAAAGGGTGGAGTGGGGTAATGGGGTATAATGAATGAATGCATGCATGGACGAAGATAAGAAAGGAGAGAGAGAAACAGAGGGGAGAAAAATTGATAACTCGGCGTTTAGATGTTGGATTGGGTAGGTGTGGTAGTACGTAATGGACTGAAGGAAATGAATGAATTTTGAAGAAATTTGATGACATGTCATGAGTTAAAGAAAGGGTTGTGGGTATTATATCTAGATTGTATGAATTGTATAGAATGATAGGAGCTCGAATTATTACAAATTGTATTGAAAAATCTCAAGCCTTTTCGTTTGGTTTGCGTATCTCTTGGGAAATGTGCGAATTAAAATGCACAGCTATGTTGTAGTCACCAATGGCTAGTTATTATCCTGGCTTTTTGTTTAGTATTCTCTTTTAAGCCTTCATCCGGGGCTTTTAGATTGGTGTATAATTTTAGCTAGACAGGCTATATGTTTGTAAGTTATCCTTCCCCGAAATAGAGACGACTTTTCCTCAACACGATGCACATTATTATACTTCTCACCAGCAATTCGACTCCAGAAACCCACCACCATTGCACGGCATCCAATTTCCAATCCAGTCCACTCCACTCCATCATAGAATCTCCATCCCATCCTGTCCATCATCCTCATGATTATCAAACCACCTAAAGATCTCCTTCGCCTCATGCGTCATATGTCTAACCGGCTCATCCACCGGTCTCCTCAACGCCCCAAACTTCTCCAACGGCACCGCAATCTCATCATGATACTCTAGTATTGCTTCAAAATCCCTACACTTGTGATTTATATTGAAATCCGGGACTGCATTTTCCTGCATATCCACCCAATAATGTCCGTACGTATCCACACTTCCCTGACACATCAGGTTCTGCAGTAGCGCATACACACAATGCGAAGCGTGGAGTTGATGGTATTCCCCCATTTTTTCGTCAGGGTAGTAGTATTCTACGTTCCAGTAGAGATGCATTCGTAGCCGATTAAGACAGTGGATTTGATGGAAGACGTCAATGCGTCCGATGAAGGTGTCGGGGCCAAACCCGAAGGATTCGGGAAATTTTGCATACAGATCTGGATTTTTCCCTTGATTTATGAGGTCTTGTCGGGATAGGGGAATGGGATTTTGAGTCTCGATACGAGCCCATGCTGCGTCAACTTCCGGGGATGGAGGTTTCCGATAGATGGATTCGTTTTCGCGTTCTAGGAAGGTGCCATTGAGTCGCCAGGTTGAGAGGGGAATGTCGACTGCATCTAGAATTGGAGCTATGATGTTGTTAATGAGATGTTATTTTTACACATGGGGTTTTTAATCTTACATTTTTCGGAGACTTGCTTCAACGCCCAATTTCGCTCGTTTCCACCAGGAACTTGCTTCCAATTAAGCATAGCCGCTGTAAATAGGTACAAAGACAGACAAAAGAAAAGACCATTCAGCCAACCCAGACACCTCACAAATGAATGATGCTTATGACAGGTATCAGTCTCTCTCTTCTCAGCATGCTCAAATGAATCATCGCCGACAGAAAAGCGGTTGAGAAGTCGATCTTCATCTTGATATTCGATATCCGAGTTTACATGTGAGGGTTCCAATTCTGCATATGTGAAAGCTTTGTTATGCTTGAATATTTGTAAGATACGTTGATTGAAACCCATGCTGAAGAGCGGAGAGGTTGGAGATGGGAGAAGTGAGAAGTGTAATGCGGATATGAAAGGTAAATGATAGAGTAGCTGTTTTCAAACGAAATGGGAAATGGTATAATGTAAGTCATACAGCTAATGGGTATGATATAACATCATAAATCAAGACTCGTACTGCTTGCACTTTAAAACACCAGTGGGTACGTGGATTGACAGTACACACTTCCAATTTTCGATATTTCTGGCAAATTTATTCTCAATTTGTTTAACATTAGAATTCACGTTTTGGTTGTTCCATTTCTAATCAACAATTATAGCAATTCTCAAGATAAACAATTTGATATATCAATAAATATTCACAAGTCCATTTTAGCAGTGCCCCATCAGTCTGTACACCCGCTGGTATTACCTCACAATCAACACTCAACTCCCAGCATTCGATTATCTCAATACGTTACACTTACTCGTCATAACTCCTCCCCATATTTCCTCTAGATAAGAGAAACTCACCCTCCTCTCTTTCAGCCAGGAAGAAACAAGCCACATACTGCACAGTTATCTAGATCCAACCGATCCACGAATATGCAAGCCAAAACATGTAGACAGTAACATGCACGACGTCTGTGATCTCATGATGGAAGCTTCGGCTAATTCTTCCCGTTCGCGTGGCAAACTTTGTATTTCTCGGTTGGTGGTACAGAATACATTTTGGACTATGGTTGGATGAGAAGAAATGTTGTGCATATGTATCTACCAGCAGATTACGATTTTATTCCCTGAATTAGTTATTATCTTGCAAATTGTGGGCAAAGCTTCCGAGTACACAGTTACGCGGGTTTGACGACTTGAGATATTTTGGACCCGAACTTCGCATACGGAAGCAACTCCGATAGATCAGCAGCAGATAACAAACGTCAGATCATCTTTGCATCCTTATCCTAGCTAAGTACTCGCTAAACATGAAATCTACATCATTTGTAACTCAGAGATAGATATCTTAGGGGCATCGCTACTCGTATAAATTATATTTCATACGAGTAACATACGGATTGGCCACAGATTAAAGGTATGTAAGTATACATAACTGTAGTAGTACTATTGACATCATACCGAGTTAACCTATTCTCGTTCAAAACAACGATAATCGTGTAAACACTATCTTTACTCCTGTATATACACGGAATGCTTGCAGTGAAGCCTCTTGTCCAAAGCACTTGAAGTCTATAACAGCTACACATTAAGCATCGATTCTAGGCACATCGAATCTCCCAATAAAAGCTAAAGTCAGATCAGCGTATATCCCTCCTGTCATGGTGATGAAGAGTGCCTCTTCGCCATTATTCCAACCAACTCTGCTTACTCCCCGCGCAATCCTCGCTTGCACACCCACACGTTCTCCATCAATTTCCCCATCCTCCTATTTCACTCTTGCTTCTCGATATGTAGCCCAAATCAAATCAACTCCATTCTCGTAATTGTGTGAAGTCACTCGCACATGCAGATACATGTCTAAAAATGGCGTACAACCCGATACTTGCACGAATCACTTCAGCAAACACGAACAACGACTTGGTGATAGAGAAACAATAATTTGAGGCATTTCTTTGAACTCTGCTTCGCTACAATCTTCGTCGCAGCGGAGAATTTTGAACAGTCTCATGATAACCTGTTTTGACATCCTTGTAGTGTTTTCGACAAATCTCGAGCTGCCGATATACTTCGCATCTATACTGGGATCTAATTCGCAACCTGGTACATCTTTCCGATTTCTCGAATCGGGGTTGAGTTTGACTTTTCTTGCTGAATACAGGATCCGATAGACTACACAACACGTTGTTGGAAGTGACGTCGGTTATGCATATAATTGTACGTTTGAACACGTATCACAACACTGTTCTTTGCGGGGATAATCTCATCTTGTATGAATAAACGAGAAGAATAGATCGGCGGCAAGATAACAGTTAGTTATAACACTTCGAAGCATGTTACTCTACAGAATAATCTTGTGCAGCACTTTCTGATCTCCCGGTCGGATTTGCAGGTAGAGCAAAAAGATTCACGCATTTTCATTCATCTGAAAGTCAAAGATATCTATATAAACAGACCATGACCAGAGATCTAATCTTACTTCTCTCAATCATCTAATCACAACAATCCTTCCAACCAAACTCCAACAACCCAGCCCAGAAATTCCAACACCCCACAGACACTTCTCCAAAATGGTTCAAATGACCGCAATCTTGGCTACGGCCATTCTCAGCCTCGCATATGCTGCACCTCTAAGTCCTGTTCAAGGTCTACTACATCCTCCCTGAGAACAAAAGAAATCATTACTAACTTTAAGTAGAAGAAGTGAAAGCACGAGGTGTGTTGGATGCTACGTATGCTCAGTTGGATTGGTTTATGGCTAAACGTGATCCAGAGCTATCTTACGTGAATAGCCGCGCAGCGGAATTGAGCTATGTGGTACGTTTTGTAGAGATATTGTGTGGTATGAAGCTCATACGAGTGTAGAATTCGAAGCGTGAACCGGAATTGAGCTATGTCAATTCTAAGCGCGAGCCAGAGCTCAGCTACGTGGTTTGTTTCACAGAGATATTCTTTTAGCATCCAGCTCACACAAATATAGAACTCGAAGAGAGGACCAGAACTCAGCTATGTCAACTCCAAGCGTGAGCCAGAGCTTAGCTACGTGGTTAGTTTGGCCCTCCCCATTTTCGAATGCATCCTATTGACGGGTTTCTAGAACTCCAAGCGTGAGCCAGAACTCAGCTATGTCAACTCCAAAAGAGAACCCGAGCTCAGCTACGTCAACTCTAAACGAGAGCCAGAATTGAGCTACGTCGTATGTCCCGCGCATTCCTCCTGTTCCTCGATTAGTTCTTGTCCCATCTACTAATTTTCAATTTCTAGAACTCCAAGCGCGAGCCCGAATTGAGCTACGTCAACTCTAAACGAGAACCAGAATTGAGCTACGTCAATTCCAAACGTTCCCCGGAACTCAGCTACGTCGTACGTTCCATTCCATTCCATTCCATTCATTCTCCACCGCTCCTCTCCAAGCAATCCCAATCCCAATCCCAATAATTCCCAACCCCCAAATACTAACCCTCTCTCCAGAACTCCAAACGTTCCCCCGAGCCCGAGCTCAGCTACGTCAACAGCCGCCACAGTCACAAGGAGTAAAATTCCCCATCTCCATCCCATCTTCATCTCCATTCCCGATCTCAGTCTTTACATCAAAGAGATCTATCTCTTGATTACCGGGTATGATATGAATGAAGAGAAGAGAAGAGAAGAGAAGGGGTGAATGTATTCATGTGCGCGTGTGTGCGCGCGCGACAGACAGAGACAGAGCCAGACAGAACCGAAACATGCAATCGAAATCGAAATTGAAACCATCAACACCAATCCATCTCCACATATATACCAAACTATCAATACTTCCAAATATTCTCATCATTCCAATTCCTTTTCCTTTTTTCCTTCACCTAATTCAAACATCCTATTACTCCAATCCAAGGTTCAGAAATTTCCAATTTACATGCATACCTACCTACAGAATAAATAAATGAATAAAAACTTCTTGCCGATTCTCATCTTCTACATGTTTCATCCCTTGATATGATATATTGAGATTTTACATTACAACAACACGTATATTATATCCTTCCCCATTGAGAAAGTTAAATCTCCAGATTTCTCACTCATTCCCAAGGTCATTAGTGGTTATTAACTCTATTCTTCCAATATCCCCTCCTCCGCAAAAGAACCCTCCACACCTAATCTATCCAGCGAACTTCAACTACAATCTCAACCCCAAACCTCAACCCAGCTCAGAAACATTCCCTCTCCCTCTCCCTCTCTCTCTCTCTATTCCACCTTTCTCCAACTCTTCATACTCATTTCTTCCCCTCGCTCGTCTTGTCCCATTTCGCTTCGTCTCCCTGCTATCTTATCCCATTCTTTCCCATCTCCTCCCGTATAGAGTACAGCAAAAGTAGATACGAAACAATTGACGAATCATACAACCACGTACCTCTAGGGCTAGTTATAGTGCCGAACAATACGTAAGATTACAATCGACCAACTTTGATCAATATCTTCTCTGCATCTAGAAATATTCTATGATCCAACTACTTTATCATTCAAATCATATATACGATTCAACCAAATCATTCAAGTATTCATCAAGCCACTTATTGCAATTCAAATGAATTTTCATTCTCATTTCTCATGCTTCGCTTCTCATCTCTTTTGAAAAACAAAAGCTGATGACTAATTACAATTGATTAAGTACCCTTTGGTGAGTTTCATGTGTTTTCTTCGTCAAAGTTTGAAGAAATTACACAAGCCAACTCTTCCATTCCCATCTTCATTACTACTTTCATGAATAACGCCTATCCTTCCCCTATAATTTAATGGACAGAAATGTTTGAACGCCCAGTCTAATGCATTAAAATGATCATAACCTTACTGCCGCAACTTTGCCCCTAGTATGCGGAGATTGGCGTTCCGATAATAAAAAGATGGTGAGAAGGTAGTGTGAAGATTGATGAAAAATTTCAAAATTTCGAACAGAGATATTAAGATGATTAAGGTCTCTTTGTAAAGGTCAATGGACAATCATCCTGCGATTTGTGTTAGTAATGATCAAGAGCCATACAATGTGAATATGTACTAACCATAGGGAAAATTGTAGCAAAGACCTTAATCTCTTCTGATTTTGGAGTTGGATGATGAACCCAGTCAAGCTCCATCGATGCCTTTCCGATCATAAGAGCAAGGTTCATTTGGGCATATTCTTGTCCCAGACAATAATGAGCACCAGTTCCAAAGACCAAATAGTTCTTAGCACCCTTTACTTCAGCGTCGCCAGAGAAATAACGTTCAGGGTCGAATTCGTCAGGTCGGTCGTAGACATCAGGATCGCGTAAAGCTGGGTATGTTGTTGGCACAATCATGGCTCCTATTTTTTAGAGGTTAGAATTTGACTTTCGTTTTCGCATCAGCTTGACATACCTTTGGGAACAGTGTAATCTGGAGTGATTGGGAATGCTTTCTTGGCAACATATGGAACCATGAGAACAGGAGGGCGCCATCTCAATAACTCTCTAACCACGGCACGAGTATATTTCATGCTTTCCATCATGTCCATGTTTGGTCTGACTCGTTTATCACCACCACGAACGCGTAAGTTCTCCTCGCGGACCTTATCTAAAACCTCAGGACGTTGGGCCATAACTTGGAATAACCAGGTGGCGGCACTACTAGTAGCATCTTGGGAAGCGAACAAGAAGGTAAAGACAGTTTGAGCAATTTCGAAGTCGGTGAACTCGCGGAGTAATGGTGTTGGCTTGGTCATTCCTTTGGTTGAGAGACCCTTTTCTTCTGCCTCGCGCCAAGCAGCGGACTCGAGCTGAGATTTGATCCATCCATCCATGATACATGAAACTTCACCACCGGCAGCCATGCGAACCTTGCTCTTTGCGGCACATTTGGAGAATTCCTCAAGAACCATATCAGCAGCAATCTTTCCGTACCAGGACTTGGTAAATGGAAGAATGATTGGGAAGTTGACCAATTCCAACGCAGCAGTGATGTTGTAGTAATCGTCGGCAATCTTCTTGATAGCTTCGTCTGAGATGTAGAAACCAACAAATGTACGACAGGAAACGGCGCACAACAATTCTCTGAATTCGGACATGAATGGAACGGGTTTTCCTCCAGCTTCCTCAGTAACCTTGGCGAATCTTTCGTTATATTGATTATAGACGTCGTCTTGTCCTGGGAGATAACAATCGAGAGCTTTGCGAGTGAATAATCCATTGAGACCCTTTCGGAAATCAACGTGAGCCTTTCCGTCAAGGAAAACCCAGTTGGTCTCGCCCAATAATTTATGTGCTGAATCGACTACACATGGTTTAACGTATGCTGGGGAGTTGAAAACTTTTCTAGCCATGTCACGAGTAGAAGCAATAACAACAAATCTGATAGAGATTAGTGCCTGATTTTGCAGTGGCAGATAATAGTGTTGACCTACTTGTGGAAAACAGATACGCAACTGAGGTCACCGCTTGCCCATTTTGCTTGATATTCGTGAAATTTTGGATTGACAGATTGTAAGAATGGACCGATAAAGGGGGCTTTCCATGCTGGACCGATGATCGAACCTTTTTGCCAGATATAACTACCTATAGAATTGTTAGTGGTGCAATTGGTTCATTGACGCGTTGAGAAGTTTCTTACATTGATCATAAGCTACCATCAGGCAAAGAATTGTAAGCACAATCTGCCATGCGCTGACTTCTGCCAGCTTGGCTAGAAAGCCATTGAGTTGAGGATGCCCAATAATCTGAGCAAATTTCGCATCTGCCACAGGTGAGGCATAAGTGATATTTTGTACCACGTCCGCCATGATTTGTTCGTTGTGGTATGTATCTGTACCAAACGAGGTAATGACAGTGGTCGCAAGTAAAAAGTACAAGAAAGAAGATTGATATGAAGAACAATCTTTCAAGAATATCAATCTGACGGTTGACTATAAAGTCTTGGGTCAGAAGATATCTGGTACTTGTACGATAGGACAAGTTGTTGAATAAAAAGTATTAAGAAGAATTGAAGGTGCGGGAAGGAAGGGAAGAATTTGGGTGGGAGGATGGGAAAGTCGGGAATTATTATTGAGTTATGAAGCACCAGAACCTTACAGTAAGGAACAATTGGGAAGTTACGGAATTTGATTAAGTAATCCACTCAAGCTACCTGAATGACGACCGTACCCAATCATCTGTGATCAAATTCTATAAGTTTAGTTAGATTGGGACACAATCGGGTGAATAGACCGATCTGAAAAATTCATCTAACGGAGAGTAATTGAGTAGCCTCGTAGCTGATTTGCTAATTATTGGATTGTGAGATTACTAGGATTACTAGGATTAAATTTCATTAAAGACCGACCCTCGAGAGACCTTTGCAAACAGGGTTAATCCGCCCGGCAAGAAAGGATAGAAAGGAAAGAAAATTCGAACATGAACATCAGTGGAGTGAAATGCGAAGAGCTAATCATACTAGGGAGGAACTAGAAGTAAAAAAAGGTCATCTATGATCTATTGACTAGTGGCGCGATATGTGGTGGATTATTCTGGACCATTAGGTACCTAGGTAGTTTCCCCTAATAATATTATTGAGTTGAATTTACCAGTAGGATGTATGGTATAGGAAATGATAATCATCTGAAAGTTGTATTGTACACAGTTGTCAGTTGTTAGTAAAAGACAATTAGAATCGACTCAAAAAGGAGGAGGAGTGTAGCGAATGCGCGTGTTGTACCGGTACCTAGGTAGTTATTAGTTACACATTCACTTCATCTCTGTACCGGTCCTCGGTAATCTTCTATATACATCAGATAAAGGAGGGCAAAAGAGTGAATTCAATCATCAATAATATCTCATCCTATTAAAAAGACGTCATTATTCTTTCAATTCATTCATTCGGGTGTCTAGGTTCTCTAGGTGTCTAGTTAGATAACGGAAGCAAACAATAGGGCTAGATAGTAGTTCAAGGGTTCATGGGTTGATTTGATAGGTGGTTGATAGGTTCATAGACTCATAGGCTCAGAATTCAAGCTTTGAATGGAGAAAGTAAAAAGTTTGTATAAAGAAAAGTATAAGCAAGCAAGCGGGTACGGAATGTTGTGGTTGGTTCTCATAGTATGTGCCTGATGCTTTTCTGTTGGTGTCATTGTGGTGGTGACCCTTTGCTGACCTGATGTATTGTTTCTGAGCCCAATATCGACATCATCATATCATCCGTCCACGACCACTAGAAATTAAAGATGTGCATGCCTAGGTCCATACGAGCGGATCCTTGTCAAATAATATTATCAGTCACTCACTCATACTAGTATTACCAACCACTTTCCATATCTTCCGAAGCTTTTATGCTAATAAGTTCAAGGAAGAAGAGGATTTGCAGTAGATTCCATGCTGGAACGATATACTCGTGTATTATCAGATATTATATATTGTTCCCATTTGTTGAAATTCTACCTACTGACCATACTACAGACTTTGATGGCTAACGGCTAACGCCTAGATGAAGCCACAATCAGACTCTACACATCAAAAGCAAATCTAGGTAGTAAATCAAGATACTCATATCTAATCCCATCTGCTCACAACGACGAAGAGTCTCATTGAACCAGATAGTCATGATACATGAATCTCCATTCCTGACTGAATCACGAGATCCATCTATACGCGGATCCTCCAATCTGTACTCCGTACCTACTACCTAGTGAACAAAACTGGTGGCTGGTTGTAAGGTGCAACCAACTCAACAAACACAAGTCTTGGCATGCATGCATCCCCTATTAAGAATATATCTTCATCCTCCGACAAAGTTCTCCAAAAAGGACCACAAACGACTTCAGTGAACACCAGGTCCTCCTACTCAAAACACACATAACAATCGGTAGCTACATACGGGAAATACAAAACGATATCACGCCAGATTCCTCCATGAAATGAATCAAATCAAACAAAACCCATGCGAGCCATCTCCAAACTCCAAACTCCACAAAAATCCACCCAAAACCTAATCTGAATCACCTTCTCAGATCACCTCATAAATAAAACATGTGTTAGCTCAGTCCACCGAGGAGTCCGACGATGTTATTTAATCGAATGCTTCTTTATACGCGTATATATATTTCATACTTACTCCGTACATAGATACGGGACGGAATATACTATAACGATAACAGTGGGGAAGTACGTATCTATCTCGAGTCTGTCTCGAGTCTGTCTTGTCTGTCCTGTCTTGTCTAAAAATCTAGTCAGCAGCATTGACCAACAAATTTCACAAACACCTCAAATTTTCAACACTCAGTACCAGAATTCCACTCATATCATCTCTAGTTCAAGAAACCAAACCCCCATTTTCATCCAACTTGAATGACCTCCAAATAGCAAAACTATCTAGCTATCAGGAAAAGTATAATTTCAATCTATTCAATCCTCTTCACACAATCCATTCTTTACACCATGATAATATCCAGCCCCGCCCCTCAATCGCGAAAATCAACAAATCAGTTGAATATATTTAGATTATTAATGTATTAATGTGAGTGTAAAAGTAGTTTGACTGAGTATGTTAGGCGGATTATTGAGAATAATTAGCCGAGCTATGCTTTTTGCATGGAAATGGGCTTACTTTCTCGGAAGAGGAGGGGGTGAATCCTTCATCATGATTAGAATCTGTTCTATTGATCACGAGAGTCAATTATCTCTTTAGTGGGAGATTCTAGACTTGGCACTTACGGGATGCGGGTAACCTTGGTTTACTCTCATAAATTTTGAAGTTCAATGTTGGGTGTTTGGTCATTACTTTGATGTTTTCGGGACGGGCCTCTATATGGATATTTCAGTACGAGATATGTACTAACAACATGTTTCTGTCTTTTCACTTCTCTGCTTTTGCTGTTCTAACCCTTTCTGCCCTTTCCGCCGTTTCTGCTTCGCCTTGGTTTTGTCTGTCAATTCCACGCTTCCAAACGCTCGCCGAAACATCCCCATTACATTGCTGAATACGCATTCCTTCACATATAGTCACAGACAAAAGAAGATTGATTTTCATTTCAATTATACTCAGACTCAATTCGCGCTGATCTATCTCCTAATCTGAGTTATGGTAAGATTATAATGAATGTAGTTCTACCTTCCAATTTCACAACAAGAGAAATCGAAGAATCTATCTCTTAAATACTTATTATATAAATCCAAAATTATCTTTACCAAATGGTTAGATCTCCAATAATAAAATCAAGCATCACCTCTATACACGTGCCTCGACCTTCTCATTCTTCGTAAACGTCGTCTTTGAATAAATCAAACTCACAATCTCGCAGTTGATGGAAGTACATCTTTTCTCGTTCTCTCTTCCCATTTTTTATTTCTTTCTTCTCCTCTCTCCCCCATTGCTCTTCTCTCTATCTTTCAGCTTTCTCCCGCAGCTCATTTCCTTTTTCTTGCAACCCCTCTATCTTCTCTTCCATTCTAAGAACCTCTTCTTCATTGAGTACCTTCCATTTACCCTTTATCTTGTAAATTCCCTTGAACAACACTCTTAGATAAAGTTATCCATATCTTCGAATCTACAACCCAACACAAATATAAAACTTCATCCACATCTTCACTATAAACGTTTTTTTCTACCTATTTCAAGAAAACTGGCACGTAGGAGCTAAATTTCCTCTCCTCCATCATGAAACCCTCCGCGTTCTTCTTCATATATCTTGAATCTAGGATTGAGAAGATCGAATACCTATCATCATACTTCAAGCCTCTTTTCCGCTTAGTTTTGTGAAATTTTATTATCTCTCTATGTATTGCCCGATTCATCTCATGGAATTAATAAAAAGATTGGCATATGGAATCTATATTCGAATTGTTATTCAACTTTTCTGTTTTGTAACTAGATTTGTAAATGGAATTGGGATATTGATTATTTCTTGATTTGACTACGCATTCTCGCTGGGGTATCTATGTTCATGAGTCCCTAAATGGTTTTTCAGGAGGAGGGGGAGGGGGGTCTTGAATTCATATTGTTTTGAGGGAGACTTGGAGATTTGTAGGGAGTAGATAAGTTTAGTTTCTTTGGTGATGGTGAGATGGGTTTGGTTTGGGGTTGAGGTTGGGGTTATGATATAACAGGATAGGTAGATATATATATATAGGTATGAGTATGAATATTCAAATAATGACTCCCAAGCGAAAAGCGAACGTATATACAGATTAAAAAATGAGTCAGAAGTCAGAAGTAATCCACAATTTCCTCCCTTCCCCCCCTTCTCTCCGCACGCTCTTCCCTCATCTCCTCATTCCATAGAAGAAGATAAAAAAATACAAAATCAGGTACCTACTAGATACAACATGCAATAATAATAATATGAACTCACCACCACCACCACCATCACTCTCATTACACAGCTTTTTTACCCTACCTACCTACCTACCTACCTACCTAACATCTGAAAATTGAAAATTGAAATTGGATTTTCGATCGAGTTAGAATAGTCTCTAGTTTCCCAATCTCGTATATATATCTCTACCTACCAAGAAATTGCACAGATGTTTACAAAAGACTACCCACTATGTTAGATGTAAGATTACATTTCCATGCATCTCTTTCTCTCTAACCCTTCTTTTTTCATGGATCATGAACATATTTGTGTGAAATTTCATTCTTCCCTTATTGCATTTACATTCGCTTTCATGTTCCCTCTCCCCTCTCTATATTCTTCCTTCCATCATTCCCAAAATCCACATAGATCATTTACCAAGCTCCGTATCAACATTCATATCCCCAACCCACAAACAAACAGCAAACCATGTGTCGGGATATCGATCATGTGATCAAAGAGGGCACTGTATTAGCTAGCGTCGCGCTAGCGCTACCCTATATTAAGTACTAGCTTCCCATAGATAATAATGATCAAGAACGAATACAACCACATAGAACTAATAAGTACTTACACTTATATCAACCAAGTTGATACCAACACCATGCAACCACTCAATGCATCAAATCAAACTCTCACTCAACCCATCCCAACCCATCCCGACCCCCTTTCCCAACCTCCAATCCCTAATACATACCTACCCAGATACATCAACTTCAAATCCAACACAACCCCACACCTCTCCAATCTTATCTACATAGGTATTAAATACAAATTTCACTTCTGCCAATCTTCGATTCTATTTTATCCCATATAGATGGGATAATTGTGATCTGTCATGATGTGATATGATATGATATGATATGATATAGTATGATATATATGTGTGTATGTGTGATAAGAAGGGAGAGAGAAATACAAGTAGATACCTAGGTACTGAGTAGATAGTCTTCTTTCGATAAGCGAGTAATTAGTATTGGGGATTAGGAATTTGGGAGAGGAATATGATATGAGATGAGGTGAGATGAAATGGGTGCATGTATAAGTTGCCACACGATAGCACGTATTGAACAGGGGATAAATAGACATATAGGAATGGTGAAACACTGAGATGAAACGGAATGGTACGGATGAATGAAGGAAGAAAAGGGGGAGAAGATACTATACCGTGTTGTGTGTAAGATACATCAAGAGAGCAAGGGTAAATATCACGTCTCTGAGACATGGGGATTTGGACTGTAGCAATACAGGCAAATATCATCTATTCTCCTGTCGAATTTTATATTCCACAGGCATCTCATGAAATAGTTAGGACAGATAGTTGTGCGAATCGTCTGACAGATGGGAACAATGTGTATTGAACATGTAAAGTTGAATACAAGATTTATACAACAATGAATGCATTTGCAATCCACGGAATATAGCCCATAAATGATATATTCACCACACACCATTAACACCACTGTCCCAGCATTCCCCAGCTCTCACAACATGCTCATCTCTCCACCTTTCCCCCCTTCCCACTCCACTCCGCCCAACTCCCTTCAAACTCTCCCACCTTCCTCCACCCATTCCCCTTCGCAATCTGCGCCGCCGCCCGCGACCTCACCCCCGTCTTACAATAGAATACACATTCCTCCTCCTTCCCCGGCCTCTCAAACCCAAAGCGATCTTCAAATTCTTCCTCGCTAATACTAAACGCATCCGGATCCGTCGTGATAGAAATATTCACCGCGCTGGGAATACGTCCTGTTTGTTGCACTTCGAGAGGTGTGCGGACATCGATGATATGAGTATCGGGATGTGGAGCGGATGCGAGTTTTTGCATCTAGAAGAGAGAGAGAGGGGGAATAAGTCAGTAAATTCATTTCAGGAGAAAGAAAGAGCGAGCGGAGAACAAACATCTTCAAAAGTGTAGTATTTAGATTTCGTCTCCGATTCCTGCGAATACGATCTTCGAACATGTGTCGACCCCCGAGCCGTCTCTCGATCAAAAATCACCGCATTCATCAATCCACCATCTCGAACCCTCGTACGGAAATTCGTGCAACTGCTCGTGGACAAATGCGTCATGGAATAGCATTTTACAGACGAAGCTCCCATGCGCGTTTGGAATGCGCGGGCTAAAGTGCGAGATACTCGAGGGGTAAACATGTTCTTCTATTTTGGTGCCGAAATAGTGAAAAACAAAATCTGTTTTCGATACGATGTATTTCAATTGACGACTGCGAGGGTGTGTACGGTCGGGTTATGGAAAGACTTTCTTTCTTTTCGAGGTGTGGTTTTGATGGTGGGATGAAATGGAGGGATGAAATATTATCCCGGATTTTAGGTACGTCTAGCGATCCTTGGTTGATTTCGTCATGTCATTCAATATCAATAGAAATAATTGAATTTACATCAAAATAAAGAAAACAAAGGGCACAGAGCGGAATCGCAAGTATGATAAACCAAGATGTTTTCATGGATTTTGCAACTGTAGAGTACCGGGGTAATTGGGTTTATTCATTAATTTGCAAGGTGGCTCACCGAGAGTAACTAACAACTAGGCCTCATTCTCAAACGAGCTCACCGGGAGCTCATCAGTAACAACTTGCCATGTAAGAGCTTAAGCACATGAATACCTTTACTTTTCAGAGACAATGACTTGGTAAGTCACACAATACACTAGGATATCTTTTTACGAAAACCAAATTCGGAGCTAGAATTTTGATTCTTGGATACTTTAACAGCTGTTGCAAATCAAGAGTATTGTAGATCCATGATAGAAGGGGTCATAGTACTTGAAACGAAGATCGATACACGATGAACAACAGGTTAACATGATAAATTGTACATGATAATGGGTATCGATCTATTTTTTTGATTTGAAATGACTTGTACTCCTTGAATCTGTTCCTCCCCCCTTAATTCGGGCCAGCCTTTACTCAATTTCTCCTCAACCCTTCATCCCAGGGCAAATATATCCCTCAAGATATCTCCAATTCTAAAACAACATCCTACTTGGATTGGCCTCCTTTGCAGGATCTTCACCCTCAGGCTTCTTAGCTACCGGACTTCCATGGGCAAAGAACAACACCTTGATAGCAATTGCCAAACCTGCATGTAGAACAACCACCATGATAAGTAATATTTTACTTGTCTGTTTATCCGTAGCGCTGAGAACTGGATATAAATTCCTAAGGAGGAAAGCAACGCTCAATCCAAATCCAACTCCTACGAATACCCAATTCATGATTGTGAGGGATGACCAGGAGACCAATGCGACAGGAATCCATACGAGATTGGAGTAACCGTAAAGAGCGGCGCATTCGAGAAGATTGGCAGATTCGCTGCCAAAATATTTGAGGGCTAGGAAGAGAAGGATTGGAATTACGAATGTATATCCATAGATTAGACCTGCGGCGCCTGTAGAAGTTTCCAAGTTAGTATTGTATTCATTCTCTCTCGCCATAAATGCACTTCGATTCCCACGCAAGTAGAAGAAAAAAGAACCTACCGCTTAACAACCCAAAATCGTACGCAAATCTTCCTTCTCCTCTTTCCGCCAGATACAAACTAACCGTTCCTCCCATGAATAGAATAAAAATAACGGTCGTAGCAATCCAAAACGGACCATACAAATCTGGATTCCCCTCTAACACATCCAAGAAATTTGCACGAGGATATAAAGCTGCCCAACATCGTGCTAGAACGGAAGAAGTATCGACATCGAAGAACTGTGAGTAGAAATGTAGGGACCAGAGGTAACGTTTCGAGGTATTGGGACCACCTGCAGTCGCTGGAGCTGGGAGACCAGGCGATGTGGGCTTATTGCGGGATGAGGAGGGATTGTTTTCAAAATTGGAATTGTGGAAGGAGAGATCTTCTTGGAGATCAGTATGGCCTAGATCGCCCTGGGTTTGTTAGTATGAGAAAATGCGTTTGGATTCATGACAGAAAGATGAGTCCTGGGAAAGGGAACTGATAAACATACCTCCTCATCCACATCGACAACGACATCATATCCAGCTCCTGACATTTTGTTTTGCTGCAAGTAGAATAATTCAATGTTGTGAGGATTGTTGCATGAATGGTGTTCTATGTTGTAGCTTGGGACAGCTTGCGAATCTGGAGATAGGCGCGCTAAGAGATGCAGGCGATATCATCCCTGCAAAGCGAGCGTTCATTCCGCTGATTAGATGAGATGAGATATCAAAAAGTCCAAAACAAATCAAATGTTATTTTATGTACTAGGTAAATATTCTTGTTAATCCTATTTTCAAATTCGTATAAAGACATCTCTTCATATCATACTAGACGAGAGCCCCCTACATACACACTCATTCATATAACAACATAATTGATCCAATGAACCTCTTGTGCTTGACAACATTTTATCTTTCACAATAGCCACAGTGCTGGAAAGACTTGTGCTGATCCACCACGATAACAAGACTAAAAACTATTGTTATATATCCACCCTTGAAGATGACTACGGATTGCTGTAATACCCCTGTTCTACTACGTACTCAGCGATTTATTATTTCACTCCGTACAACTCCGATTAGACTTCTGCTGGAAGGGGGTTTGCCTACCAGGCAATAAATGTATGTTATCTGTGTCTTTTGTCGCCCCACTTAGCTACTACGTCGTCTGGAGATTTTGCTGGTCCAAGAAATAGTGTCGGAAAGTACCAATTGTCACATAGTCATCGCTTGCCGTAACACTGGACAATATAGAATAGGAAGTTCGTCCCTGTGATGCAGTCATTTGTCCAAAGCAAGAAGTCCTCCAATATTGGCCCAAAGATCACAGTCGAACTAGAAAGTTGAATCAAATTAGTTCGGACAGGCAGGCACATATCGATTTCAAATAACTGCACACGGAAGAGTGTTCTTGAAGATATTTGTAATTGGTGTGCTGAATAATCGTCTCATTGCTTCATTTGCCTCATGCTATTGTTCTCAAATACAGAGCCGGCCACGCAAAGAACCCATTGATACATCCGCGCACCAATCCTCCCTTCCACAATCTCCCTGTGAACCCAAACGCCATAGGAGCGAAACATTTACTTGAGCTTCTTCTTTGGGCGGAGTTGGTTGGTGTGTCCGCACTTCTTCTTTCTGCAGTTGGTAGCACGGGGAGGGAGACGGGCCTAGATTTGTTCATCAGTATTTCGCGGATTGACGGGAAGAATTGAAAAACGTACGTAGCACTTTCTGCAGATCATCTTCTCGCAGTTGAACTTGGAGGCAAGGGCCTTGAGAGATGGCTCAATAAGACCACCACGGAGACGGAGGACCAAGTGGAGAGTGGATTCCTGTGGGCAAAATAATGTCAATCAACCAATTCCGAAACTCCCATCTCGTTGTCCCCTTCAGATACATCCTCCAGCTTCGATAATTCCCAAAGATATCCAATCCAAACTTGTCGACTTAAACCGGAGTGGAAGATAATCGTACCTTTTGGATGTTGTAGTCTGAGAGAGTACGTCCGTCCTCAAGTTGCTTTCCAGCGAAGATCAAACGTTGTTGATCGGGGGGAATTCCCTCCTTGTCTTGGATCTTGGCCTTAACATTGTCGATGGTGTCAGAGGACTCGACCTCAAGAGTGATGGTCTTGCCCGTAAGGGTCTTGACGAAGCTATTGTTATATCATCAGTTTCCTATCATGTAAATTCGTGTATCGATATCGCAAATAATTCCGAAAATCGTATAATCTCAAGGTAGGTGGCGGATGGGATATCGGGGTTTCTTACATCTGCACTAAAATCGCAAACAAGTCAGTAATTACTCGCAAACATTGTAAATGACCGCAAGGGCTGTGTATACTTACTGGTTGCTGAGGTTCTTCGATTTGTCGTACTTGTCGTGGAAATCTAAATTTCGAAGTCCCAACTCAAGTCGAATATTGCAAAGAATGTGGGTTGGGAAGCGAGAAAAACCCTAGCGCGTTGGGTCACATGACATGACCAAGTACGTTGGTCCGACCCTCGGATTTGAGGCTGCCTGCTCATCAAGCAGGTAGCCATCAAGGTGAAAACAATATGATGATTTTAGGACATGATTAATTGGTCCTATTGATGTAAAGGCTATGAGTCTGAAGGTATCATTCAATAATCTTTCTGGGTATCTAAAATAAATCCTAAACACCAATGAACCTATTCAAAGCAAGATCGAGCCCCTTTCCAATACGTCCGAACCAGAACTATTACCCGTACCCGTTTCTCGAAATTGCACACAATTTAAGGAATCCAATTACTTCATGCTCAGTCTTTCGTAGGAGAATCAACGTCTCTCTCATCGAATCCCTTCTTCCCGACGTCACCATCCACCTCGATGCCATGTATCATCTCCTCCTGATAAGCCTTTTCTTCCTCACTCTCTTCCTGCTCTAACAACTCTTTCCTACGCTCATCTAACATCCATTTTTCCAATTGAATCTCGGTGGTAAAAACACCATGTACCAATTTTTCAATAGAAGTTCCAATATTTCTCGCTATACCAGTCAATGAGAGCATGAAGACGTCATCTAACAAGAACAACTTACCAGCAATTTCGAAAAAGGCCTTAGCACTTTCAGGTAACTCTTCAACTGTCCGATATCTTCTATACTTTTCACCTGGGCGAACCATATCTTGGAATTTTTCATCATCCACACGAGCTACTGGCTTCTGAAGGGTCAATGTTTTGTGAACTTCTTTAGCTCGAATGGTTGGATCCGGATCAACAATTCCCATTGTCGTCTCAGGTATGATATCCGTCAATGGGAAGAGCTCCAAAATTTGCTGAGGAACTGTTTACAATCTTAGTGAAAAGCATATTCGACCAATGGAGTATCTACTCACCCTTTTGATCTCTATCATCGATCCAAGTTTTGTGATACCAATTCATCCAGTCGTCCATTTGTTCTCCAGTCATCTTGAAAACATCTGCATCTGTGATTTTGATTTCATCTCCACGCTTTAAGCCTTCAGTAGGATTATCGAACATAATACTTTGCCATTTAGTCCAGTTGATTCTTGCAGCTGTGGCATCTAGATTGCTCTCTGGATGACGGTGTATGTCGTCGAATGGCTGGCTGAGTTTTGTTGCAATAACTATCAGACTAGCGAGTTGATATTCTGGATATCCAGTTGTTCCATGGAGCCGCTTGTTATGAATCGGATATGAAAAGTTGTATTCCAGAATCTCAGCAAGTTCATTTACAGCCATGTAAATATCAACTGAAAAATGTTAGATGTAAACGCAAGTCTGAATCTTGAGGTTGAGAACATACCTGGGAGGCCTAGATCTCTAACACTCTTGTATAGAAGTAGTTTGTGGTTTATTGGGGGAAAAACCATTTCGAAATTGAAATTAAAAAACGATACCATATCGAGAACTGTTTGATGAAGTCTATGCCCATTCAAGATACCGTGGATTTCGAGCGCTCTGAAATAATGACCTGGTAATCGAGCTCTCATATCTTTAGGAATTTCTTTAATCTGTGTCCGTTTAGTACATAGGGAACTATGTCTACGAAGCTCACTTACCGCTCGTGTATAATTAATCTCATCCCTAGTTGCCCATTTGTATATTTCTCCTAAACTCGTAGGCAGTCGCAAAAGTAATATTCCAAGATAGCAAAACCCCAGAGTCTCAATTAATTTTGGAAGATTTTTCTTAGCCCTAGACGCTCTCTTCCTACTCATAACAGTCGAAGCTGTACTTCTATACCCCGTCCCATCCGTATCCGTGTCGTCTCCTTCCGTCGTTGACCCAAATTCTGTCCCATACTCACTTCTCTCGTCTCCCGAACCTTGTAAAACTCTCAATCTCAGTTCCCACAGATCTCTTACGATAGTTTCTAATTCTTTTGGAAAGCCCTTCACTGTCACTAACCAGTGAGTTTGTTTCCAAAGAATTAATTGGTAACATTGTAAATAGAGCTGTGTGGCATCGCGACCCCCGAAAACTTTTTCCACCTGCTCTTTTTCCTCTCGCCGTTTTCTTGACTTCTTTCCTTGCTGATTCCAGTCATCCTCATCTTGTTGAGTTTGAGTGAAACCCTAGACTGGGTTACTTTATGATCATTCTGGTTTGGAACGGTTTACAAACTGCTTGCTCATGACCTCGTTGACAAAACTTTTTACCATCTTCAATATAGAATTTTCGAGCGCGACATCCTTCCTCGCTACATGTTTCCCCTCTGCGAAATTTGTGATAATCGATCGCCGATGACATAGCTTATAGCAGAGATTAGCACTTTGATAATTGTTGAATCATGACTTTCAGTGGGATATTCAGTACATAGAATCGGGTGTCATTTTCCCGAAATCGTTTATGTGGAAATATTGGCGCTAGGAGCGGGTGGACATAGCACTTCAGCTTTTTTTTTTATACTACTAGTAGGTACTTCACTGGCAGAAATTGTAGATTAATGCGTCTCACATGAATTCTTGATAACTGGGAGATAATTTTTTATTTCGTGAAAACAGACTATGTAGAATGTCCGCTTGACTACGCCGGTCAAGAATATCATAAAACAGCATTCAGCTATGATATTATGATACTGGGAAAGCTAGGAGAGTAAGATAACCAGTATGACCAAGTTTTCGTAGATCAAATCGCCCCAACGTAGACCATAAGAATGCAGATATCCGAAAGCATCATATTCCTCTGAAATTAAAGGACCTTCGAGCGAACAGATATTCACGCAAAACAACCCATGCTATTGCGAAAATCTCGGGTGATATCACTTTTCAGATATTTAACCAGATTTTGGTGCCTCCTTTCCATCGATAGCGAGTTGCTCACCCATAGCAGTGAGGACAATGACGTCTGGAAGAAGAATTCGTCAGTGATGTGTTCAAATTCTTCCGAATAGGCGTTACTTACTGGTGTCCTTGTCGGAGTCGAAAAGAGCACGGATCTTTTGTCCAACCTCTCCATCTGGCAACTTAACATCCTCCTTAAGATCACCTCCCTCGGACATCAAGGAGAGGAAATCATCATCAGTGATGTTGAGCTTAGAATATTCGTTAGCGAACGCGCCCAACAATCGACCATGTGTTTATATTCTTACCAATTGGTACTCGACACGGGAAACGTTGGGGACATCCATGTTGTGGGTGGATGGGCAAAGTTCTTCGAGCTTCTTTCCGGTGAAGATATCGGTGGCGACGAGATGGACTTTGGCGTGACCGTGCTTACCAGTCTTGGAGGTAGACATGTCGATGATCTTGCAAGGGCGGTTCTTGATGCAGACGAATCCGTTCTTTCTCAAAGCAGAACATTGCATAGGGTAGGTGGTGGATGCACCAGCATCGGCGGAATCGAAGGTGTGCTCATGCTATTGGAAAGAAAAAAAAAGGTGGTCAGCTATCATGATTTTATCATCTTCGTCGTCGTTGATTTTCGTTGATATGCACGCAAAGCGATTTTTGGTGGGGGGAGAGAGTTCATATGCGGGGTGAAATCGACACACAGAAATAAAGGACAAAATTCTATCTTACTTGAGAGTCATCAACTGGGGCTTCTCCAGACATCTTGAGAGGTATTCGGGGGGGGGGGGTTGGGGAGTTAGAATAAAAATTGATAGAGTTGAGGAGTCGTAGTGAGAATGATTGCGAAAAGATTAGAAGGAGTGGGAGAATTTATAAATTCGAGGAAGAATAGATTGTAGTGTGTGGAAGGGAATCTGGTCCTAGAAAGATTGGTTAGATTTTAGCGACCATTAGTTCCAGTTTTTTATGAAAAAAAGTCGAGGGTGGAGACAGTTCAACCAGTTAAATTGTTTTATTTGAACTTCATTCCTATTACGGTTATTGGATAAATCGGGCGTGGAAGAGTGGCTGAAAGATCTAAAGCTGATTCTGCGATTTTGATTGGCTATCTTGATCAAGTGTTGCTCCAGCTGTCATTAGCCCGTACCTAGTTGTTATAGGTAGGTATTTCGGGGTGATTCAAAAAAGCCACCTGGGCAGATTTGGGTGCAAACCTGGAAGTGAGGGGAACACTGATCACATGACATTGCTTCGAAGATAAGTACTGATTGACAAGGGAACGAAGAGTGCTTTGATTAAGAAACATTAGACATTTTAGTACATGAGTACCTAGTATATATATCCAAAATCTCAACCATTTTGCTTGTGTATATATATCCACGACTTCATCGTCCAGTCTTCTCATATCAAGGTACTCCAGCTACCTAGGTAGGCAGCCCGTAGGTCGGGTACTTCAAATACCACCAGCTACCGACACCAGGCGCAAAGTAAAAGTGGCTTGAGAGGCAAACCCATATTCCTTATCGTTATCGCTATCAATTCATACATACAATCAGTACTACCTAGGTTACCACCTGGGTAGTCCCTTCAACAATTATACAAAGCTGTCAAAAGTAGCTTGAGTAGGTAGGTAGTAAGAGAGGTACTTGTTCGTGTTGAGATGTAATGTTTGAGTTATTTTCCTGGTATAACTTCTCCAATTGAATTAATCCATTTTCATTATTACTTTGTTTTGTTTATAAAGCTTTGGGTGCTGAGGATGCCATTTTCGATAATCTGGTCTGTTCCATATCGATAAGCTGAAGCTCCCTTTTGCTTATACTCAACTGCTTTATTCAGATTACACCAGGAGTAACACTTCAAATATTCCGTTTGAAAAGTAAATCTTTCCTCCTTCAATCTATTACTGGCGCATGGGGAAAGGAATTGACTGCTTTACATTTCAACCATCAGAATGTGGTCATTAGATCGATTATCCGCACACACAACCCCTTCCGCCTCTCCACCCCCCCCATTAAATAGGATCCCAAATCTCCCTCGTCGACCGAGTCATCTTGTACCATCTCCAGTTGGTGGTAGACCACCATTCAACCCGAGATCGTCTTCCCTATCGTTAGTCTCCAGTGACTCGAATTCATCCTTGCTATCATCACGGAGACCCAATGGTTCGAACCTCAAACAAGCAGTTACACCTCCGAATGTGCCAGATCCTATGGAGGTTTTGGGAACACTATTGAACAATGAGGAAGGCATAAAATTGCCATTAAGGAAGAGCTCGGGGACTGCAAACGGGACAGTCGCTCCCATTAAAGAGGAAGACGATGCAGGCGAATGGGATTTCGGAGGTTTAAGTCTGCAAGACATTGTAGCAGGAGAACCTCTCGATGTTGAGGTTGAGTCTGTATACAAATCTCAAACGCTGGAAGAATGTATGTATAGTACTTCTTAAGTTGCCATGCGCAATTGCTGACAGCTTCAACAGATGAGCGCGATAAAGAAAAGTTCGAAGACCTCCATCGATCAATTCGCGCCTGCGATGACGTTCTTAATTCAGTTGAGATAAACCTCACCAGCTTTCAAAATGATCTTGCTATGGTTTCTGCAGAGATCGAAACCCTACAAGCACGATCAACAGCTTTGAGTGTAAGGTTGGAAAATCGCAAAGTAGTAGAGAACGGACTTGGGCCTATAGTGGAAGAGATCAGTGTCTCTCCAGCTGTCGTTAAAAAAATCGTGGATGGAGCTATAGATGAAGCCTGGGTTCGAGCATTAGCGGAAGTTGAGAAACGATCAAAGGCAATGGATGCTAAATCAAAGGAGCAACGTGTCATAAAGGGTGTGAACGATCTTAAGCCTTTGCTAGAGAATTTAATTTCCAAAGTAGACTCGCCTACCCTGATCCCTCACACAAATAACCATATTGACTTTTTATATCTAGGCACTGGAAAGAATAAGAAATTTCCTCGTTGCTCAAGTGAAAGCATTGCGATCGCCCAACATAAATGCACAGATTATTCAACAACAGCACTTTCTTCGCTACAAAGATTTATATGCATTCTTGCATAGACATCACCCAAAGTTGGCTGAGGAGCTTGGTCAAGCATATATGAATACAATGCGATGGTACTTCCTTAATCAGTTCACGAGGTATCTGAGGGCGTTGGAAAAGATCAAGCTTCATGTATTAGACAGACACGATGTACTGGGATCAGATGATGGGTCTCGTAAGGCTACCCTTCTTTCAGGATCCAAACAAACAGGTCCACCACATGACGCATTCAATCTAGGTCGGCGAATCGACCTTCTCAAAACCCCAAGCCAAAATGCACTTCCCTCCTTCCTAGCTGAAGAAGACAAACAGACCCATTACATGGAATTTCCTTTCCGCAACTTCAATCTCGCACTGATTGACAACGCTTCCGCCGAATACTCCTTTCTTACCTCTTTCTTCTCTCCTTCCCTAACCTACGCTACCATCTCTCGACACTTCAACTACATCTTCGAGCCCACCTTCTCCCTTGGCCAATCTCTCACCAAGTCTCTCACCCACGAGTCCCATGATTGCTTAGGTCTCCTCCTATGCGTGCGCTTAAATCAACACTTTGCATTTTCCCTTCAACGCCGCAAGATCCCCGCCGTAGATTCCTACATAAACGCAACATCCATGCTTCTCTGGCCACGCTTCCAACTCACAATGGACATCCACTGCGAATCCGTCCGTACCCTGACATCCGCCCTCCCTACCCGCAAACCTTCAGCTTCAGAACAAGCTAAACAGTCCGCAGCGCCACACTTCATGACCCAACGTTTCGGTCAATTTCTACAGGGCATCTTGGAATTAAGTACGGAGGCAGGTGATGATGAACCTGTAGCGAGTAGTCTGGCAAGACTGAGAAGCGAAATGGAAGCATTTTTGACAAAGTGCGCGGCGGTCATGCCGGATAAGAGGAAGAAGGAACGATTTTTGTTCAATAATTATTCGTTGATTTTGACAATTGTAGGGGACGTAGAGGGCAAATTAGCCGGGGAACAAAGGGCGCATTTTGAGGGGCTAAAGAACTCTTTCGGAGAGGGTACCTGACCCGTCACTTCTTTTTGATACTGGATCTAAAGCTTTTGAGCGTGTAAACTTATCAAGGCGTGTTATTTCAATCATCCATTGTGTACTTGTGCAGAAAAACAAAAAACTTTTATTATGTCAGGAATAGAGCCGGAAATAATCTACGCTGTAGAAGAAATCATGCTCCACCCAACCATCAATGAACCCGTCTATACTCCATTCCCAATAACCTGATACCTCAGAGACCTTATACACAGTCAGTAGACCCCGCCCGATCTATATTTCAATGGCCATTGTAACCGCCGCCAAGTAATTCCCAAAAAACCCCAAATATAGACGTCCAGCGTCTTCCTACTACATTTGACCTAGGTAAACAATGATATGAGAAAATTCCGACCAAAACTGCAACACCAACAGCCTTAGCAGGCCGTCTGTATCTCCACATCATCTTTAATAATTCATCACGCTTCGCAGCCCACTGCAATTCCTTAACTTGTTGCGCGAAATATCTCTGTCCATCTGAAAGGCTCTGTTTTGTGACCTGATCAGACCAACGTGCGGTTTTGAGGACGCTAGATGGAGATATCGATCTCCAGGAGGGTAAGGTTTCAGGCGGATGCTCCTCAAATAATTTGACCGTATTGGAAATAAGAGATTCGAGATCGAGAGGTTTAGGTAGTTTCGAAAGTATAGAATGTAGCATTTCCGGTTCATCGCCAGGTGTCTCGAAAAGCTCTTCGGAGCGCGAAAGAACAATTTGTGCAAACATATAGACAGAAAAGACAGTCTCTCGTGCCAATAGAACGTCGAACAGTCGGGCGATATCACCATATTCTTGTATATCATGCGCGTACATTGTAAGGGTACCAGAGAGAGCGAAGAATGGTTGGGTCTGCGAGAGATGAGTGCATAGAGCAGGAGAGACGGTATTTATGATGGATGGAATAAGGCGAAGTTGTGCGAGAGCTGGAGATAGAGTTGGAAGCATGAAGTCGCGAATTCGAAGTGCGGAAAGCCGGGCAACTGAGGGAGTGCGAGTAGCAGGAGGGAGAACAAGGAGGAGTACTTGGCAGATATCGTGGTAACCTTGGAAGTAGCAAAGATAAGGATTGCGACGTAGGACTTCGATGATGAGGTCAGATAGTTCTTCCTTCCTATGGCCAATCTCTTTCGAAGTTTGATCTGAGTAATAGTTAGCTTGTGCTTTGCTGCTTCGTTGTGTTTCCATGACCGTACCATTCGGATAGTATATGAAAGACCGATTGACATCCAGCGCAACCTGGTCCTCATCCCCATGCTTTGGCAGTTCCTTCCAGCTAGTCAAATCGCCCTTTGTGTCGCCGTGTTCGTTGTCACAACCGAGGAGTATAGGCCCTATTATTTATTGTCAGATTCGAATCAAAAGGTTTGAACGGGAGCTTGAACATCTTACACGCTTGACGACGAACTTCATCTGAGACCAAGCCATCTTTCGATGTTGCCAATTCTCTAATCGTTTCCAAATCTCTCCATTTGCATGCTTCCAGGATCTTTATCTCCTTTTCGGTAGGCTCTCGTGGTTGCTTCACTTTGGCGGAGTGGGAGGGGGAGCGGGACGAGGCTCTTGAGGAGCTTGCCGAGGACTTCTCCCTCTTAATGGGTTGCTCATTAAACTCCATATTGAGTATGATGAAATTTGGAGAGTCGAATTATCATGATAGCCTCTTGTAAAGTCGGAGAAAGAAATCCGACAAAGGGCCAATAAAACACTTGTAATGAGGCTCGTAGAGTATCCCTTCCATTGTTAACCAGTTTGATAGCTTAGCGTAAAAATAGAGTAGAAGCGACCTTGATGGTTTCCCGTCTTCAGTCAGGGATCCTTTTTCATCCATGTCAAATACAATATGATATATTCAATTAACTCATGTTGATGACAACCAAAATATATTATCGAGTTGAAAAGGGTATGAATTTTCTCAGAGAATATTTTACTTTTTTCTATAGATAGATAAATGTCTGAAGTCTTACATTATCTATAATATTTCGGGCCGAAAGAGGTCTCTCAATCAGCCTTGTTTTGTAAAGGCTAAATACAAATACAGAAGTCACGATCAAGGTCACATACCTCCTCAGTATCTGGGTCATATATCAAATATTGGACCGGTAAACTTATATTGATACGACGATTGGTGCTGGCCACGGCATTTCAAAATTTCCCGTGGTAGATACAACCTTTAGGCGGTTCATCTGAGGAGCATGATCGGAGTACTAGCATTTGGAAGCAACCCCAAGTGCCAATATTGTCCTTACCAGGTGGTCATGGATGAATAGGCTCGCTCGCTCATAGGCCAAATTTTCATGTCGTTCACCTACCTGGGCATCATTTTTGGACTATTAATATTCTGAGGCACATCCAGCTATCAATATCTATTTTCTTCTACTTATCCTATTGTCAAAAGTTTAAAAGAAAACTAAAGTTCCCGAGGTTAGGTAATGACACAATCAATATATGTCCAATATCACCCATTAGTCCTCTCGAAGTTCACATTCAAAACCTAAGGTCATCGATCATTCATCATTCCACCTGGTAGTCAATACCTATTATCAAGTACCTTTCGATTAGGTTTGCATATACGAGGCACGCCGTGTCTTCCTAGTTCGGATGATAATTAATTGGCAACTGATCTCATTTGAATTGTCCCCATGGCATTTCCTTTGCAAACACAAGTCTTGGTTGACGGACAATGGGTTACCAGGACTGTCGATACCCATACACTGCTTCAACGCTACAATCGAATGGATGATAGGGCAATCGATCATACCATGGAAACGATACGTCCTCCGGTCCGTGGTGTTCTGACTCAAACAATCATTCCCAGCCCTCTTGTACATTGGATTCTGCCCATTAGACTTCGTGGTCAGGAGTATAATGATGTAGCATATATTGGAGTAAGTAAATCTAGCTTTCGTTTATCACCCTGTCGTGCTGTATGTTAGCGGTGTTGCTCTTGCTCATTGCTGTTATCAATTCTTTTATTACTTGTGGAGGAACTGAACTGTCATCACTGAAATTCTGCAAGCATTGGAGAGAATCATAAGATGACAATGACCCAGAGCCTATCAGGAACTCTAAACACCTAATATACTCAAATTGTTAGACACATTCATGATACCCAATGTACTCACAGTATTGATGGATTTTTATACAAATGCAAATGCTTGAGGCCTAGCAGGTATTTGTAGTACCTTACATACTTTCTATCTTGAGCATGCGTGAAGAGATTGATAAGTCACTACGAATGCCAGCACCCGTTTCATTTATATAACGATACACATCTTACTTTGAATGATCGCTAACGAAGTCAGGACACATTTGTCGAGATTCGACGATTGGGGGTTGGCCCGCATCTGTTTGAAGTCATCCGAAAGGACGACTTCGGTTCCAGAATTCGTAACGCGACTGTCCTGGGATCGCTTGAAGACTACGAAAAGGAGCAAGTGCGTGTCAAGGAGGAATGCGAAGACGTTGACATGATCAACTTTCCCGCGTCGTCAGATAACCCATCATCTTCCAAGACGCTTTTGCCACCTCAGATTCTAGTCTTACAACTCGAAGCTGACACTTCTAGCGATTCAGTTTTTTTAACGCTGCACCAATCCGACGACGGGTCGTGGAAGTTTATGTCCAGTAGGCGACGGTTATCCAAAGCGATGGATAAGCTCCAGCCTGGAACGCATTTATCTGTCGACCCCAGCTCAAGATATATGGTTATAGGTTGTTCTGAACAATGTTTCACAGTCCAGGCTTTGGAGTCAAGAACGGAGCTGAATCGTCAACATATTAATGGCGAGAAACTCCAGTATATCGAGTCTGAGAAGATCATTCTTTGTAAAGGAGCAATTTTGAAATTGGAATTCCTTCATCCTCCAGCTGGATCAGACGATGATATTATCCTACTACTGATAGTAACCATGAATGGCAAGATAAGGATGCTCATATATTCATGGAGAGTTGGGGAACCTCTGTCAGCCATTAAGTCACGAAATTCTAAAGGTAAAAAAGGCTATGCCTTGAGAGAGATCCCCCTATTGTTCATACCTTTACGCTTCCAAGCCGCATTTGTACTAGTGAACAAGCATTCTATGGTGGCTTATAAAGGTATTTTGGAGGGTGCACCTGAATGCATACCAATTGGATGCGGTCCAAGAATGCCCCTCGACCTCTATCAAGGCTCAGATGTGCCCCTATGGACAGCCTGGGCAAAACCGACTCGGTTGCCCCACTATACAGCGGAATATGATGATGTATATCTTGCCCGAGAGGATGGATGGATCTGTCTATTGCAGGTGAATCACGATAGAGAAGATCTTGATCTTTCTATAACCGATGTTGGCGAGATGCAATGCAATATCGGGAAAGCTTTCGCTTGTGCAGACTATTCAATCGATCCGGATATTCACCGCCATGGCGATGTGCTTGTTTCTGCGGGTGACGCTAGTATCGGAGGGACTTATCTAGTGAGTATCAACATATGGTATCTTATTGCAACGGCGGGTTGAAAGAAATTGCTGGGAACTTCACTGACTATTTTTCATCATAGATTACGGCTCGAGCACAACCTAATGTTAAAAAAGACACACAAAACTGGTCGCCAGCTATGGATCTTGTAGTGATTAGGAAAAACTTGAAATCTAACTTGGACATTAATACTAGAGCCCGAAGCTTCGTTCCTTCGCCAGATTCGGTATTTGTTTGTAGCGGAAAAGGAGCACTATCATCCATAACAGAATTGAGGTCTGGTATTGAAGCTGTTCTTGGCCTCGATCTTGAATTTCATTCTGCGGTTACGAGAGCATGGGTTTTGCCCTCAGAAGTACACTCGGATTCAGCTGGTGGTGATGACTGGGTATTACTTTCGCTCGAGGATCGATCAGCTATTTTACAAATTTCTCTAGACCGGACGAATGCAGAAGAACTTGACCCAAGTCGTATCCCATTAGATCTGATGAGCCGGACTATTGTGACCAGCGTCTCTGGAAATCGTGCAATACAGGTAACAGAACGATCCATTGTTGTTCTCGACTCGGGAAATTGGTATGTCTTCCAGCTTCTCATATTATGAACTATACTCTGAACAATTGCGTGGATGTGATCAAGCCGTCTGACCTTTTCCTTAGCACTACACTTAACAGCTTGAACATGATGGGCTATCCTCAAGCCTTGCCACTTTCAACCTCATTCATTAATAATGCCATCATCTGCAATGGAAAGGTATTGTTTACCACACATCACAAGGAACAGCGTCTGCTTCGCATACTCGATACCGCCATTGATAATAGCATATCGCCACCTACCATATTGTATACCCCTAAGACAATTATTGAGTGGACCCCCGAAGTTGGAGAAATAACGTGTATCGCGATGTATTTGCACCCAAAAGATCCTCAAGAGCTTATTATTACTGGAGAGAGAAAGGATGGAGAAATTTTCTTGATGTTCATTGGGCGAGAAGAATTTCACTTACGCGTACCTACCATTTACGAAGGGTGTAGCTATGACCTTCGAGCACTGGCCAGTATCCTCGTTATACCTTCGTCAACTTCCGACAACTTTACGTTACTGTGTGGAACACTCACAGGTTTAGTTATTTCTTTGGAAATTGCTCAAACCGGACAAAAATTCCAGATCCGCAGATCTTGTTGTGTTAGATTCGGAGGTAGTGTGGCAACGTTGACTCAAGCTGAACAATCGAACTGTTTGTTTGTGAATTGCGACGAGAAGATTTTCAAGATAGATCTAAGTACTCTAAGTACTTATAGAAAATCTCCAAGGAAGCAGACATCGAGAATGACTATCAATGTGGATCAAATTTGGCTGGTAGATGCACTGGATACTACCCTACAGCAACCGAACATTAACTCTATATTACCACTCGAATCTGACTCACTAGCTGATACTGATCTTCTTCTGATATCATACAATCGGCTTCTACTCGCCAGAATGGGGATGAAACCAAAAACGGTACCTCGCCGCATCCCAATCAGAGGAACACCATATCGGATCATCCATTCGGAGATTCGCAATGCATTTATCGTTGGTGGCTCTATAGATGGTCGAAGTACACTCTACTTTGTAGACCCCGAAACTGGCGAAGATTTATCTGATCCAAGGGTCAAGAAAAATGGGCCACAAACAAATTTTGTAGCAGGATTGGGCCGGTTTGATGAGAAGATCCTTTGCATTTATGAGTGGCTGTACTGTCATGGAACCTCCATTTGGAATTTCATTGTCGTATGTACCAGTGGAGGTAGAGTTGTGATTATCTCAACCAGCAGTGATGATACTGCAGTGGCACATGCTGGTCGATCCAAGATATCATTTTGGCAAACGACTCAGTTTAAAAATTTCACTTCCGTGTATTCAGTCGTTGGAGATTCTGAAGGCTTGTACTACTGTGCGCAAAGCGGCAACGAAGTCAAACTATACTACAGCACGCTAAATAGAGCGGAAAGAAAATTTAATGAAAACGTGGCAGAAGCCAAACTACTCTCACCGGCTATTTCACTGTCTTATGACTCTGGAAAGATATACGCTCTCACCAGGCATCATTCTCTACAAATTCTAGAGGTTATAAAAACTGATGGAGCTGTGCATCTTCGTCATACGCATACTGATCAACTTCAACATGAATCTCTCCACCACATGATTGGCAGACCAAATCCTCTTGGGGGATCCGATAGCAGCCAAATTGAGTTTGTCTCGGACAGATCGAAATTTATCATTGGTTTGTGGGCTAGTTCGGGCTTGAAAGTCGATACACTCGATACTGTATTTGAAGCTCAACTACCGGCTTCAGTGATCCGTTTTCGATCTGCGAATTGTCGTCCTGTATGGGATTCAAGTTGGAAGATTCATAAAGACGGGGATTCTGTCGTGGATTCTACTCGTATTCATGGTCTTGGT